TACAGTTTGGTCCAGATGTGAGCATGTACACTGAAGTTACGACAACTTCCGTGTCATGGCGAAGAGTTGATCTTTGACGCCACGCACGGACACGCCCATTGACGAAAACTTGCAAATAGCACAACTTTTCATCTTCAATGCCTTTAGAAGGCACAGCAGAAATTTGAGGTCGGTCGGACTAAATCCCTAGGAGGAGTTCGTTAAAGTACGAAGTGTGTAAATCATCCAAAATTTGACGTAAAATTCAAAATGGCCGACTTCCTGTTGGGTTTAGGCATGGCTCCAAGAGCTTTTTTGTGCGTCTGGACAAGATACACGTACCACAGAAAATTCGTGCACGTAGGTAAAACGTGCGGCGGGGGCTGCTTCGTTAAAAGTCACTTCCTGTTGCCAGCAGGTGGCGCTATGACTGTGGGTGAATGTCAGCATGTACATGTGTTCAGGGCGGGACTCTCATCCTACATGTACAGTTTGGTCCAGATGTGAGCATGTACACTGAAGTTACGACAACTTCCGTGTCATGGCGAAGAGTGATCTTTGACGCCACGCCACGGACACGCCCATTGACGAAAACTTGCAAATAGCACAACTTTTCATCTTCAATGCCTTTAGAAGGCACAGCACAAATTTGAGGTCGGTCGGACTAAATCCCTAGGAGGAGTTCGTTAAAGTACGAAGTGTGTAAATCATCCAAAATTTGACGTAAAATTCAAAATGGCCGACTTCCTGTTGGTTTAGGCTATGCTCCAAGAGACTTTTTTGTGCGTCTGGACAAGATACACGTACCACAGAAAATTCGTGCACGTAGGTGAAACGTGCGGCGGGGGCTGCTTCGTTAAAGGTCACTTTCTGTTGCCAGCAGGTGGCGCTATGACTGTGGGTGAATGTGGCATGTACATGTGTTCAGGGCGGGACTCTCATCCTAGATGTACAGTTTGGTCCAGATGTGAGCATGTACACTGAAGTTACAACAACTTCCTGTTTCATGGCGAATCATCGACGCCACGGACACGCCCATTGACGAAAACGCGCAAATAGCACAACTTTTCATCGTCAATGCCTTTAGAAGGCACAGCAGAAATTTGACGTCGATCCGACTAAATCCCTAGGAGGAGTTCGTTAAAGTACGAAGTGTGTAAATCATCCAAAAATGGCCATAAAATTCAAAATGGCCGACTTCCTTGACTTTAGGCTATGGGTTCTTGAGGCTTTTTTGTGCGTCTTGACATGATACATGTCCCCAGAAAATTTCGTACATGTAGGTTGAACGTGAACGAGGGGCTAATTTTTCCAATTTTCTAGGTGGCGCTAGCGAGTCATTTTGCACGCCCATGTGCGAAACTTGTAGAATACGAAATTTTTCACCGGTTCTGACATGTTTGCAAATTTTGGTGAGTTTTCGAGTATGTTTAGGCCATGTCATTTGGGCCTACTTTGCAGAAAAAAAAAAAAAAAAAATAAAAAATATATATCCGAGCAAATTCAATAGGGACCTCACACGGTCGTGCTCGGGCCCTAAATATATGAGCAGATTCAATAGGGACCTCGCACGGTCGTGCTCGGGCCCTAATAATCCGAGCAGATTCAATAGGGACCTCGCACGGTCGTGCTCGGGCCCTAATAATCCGAGCAAATTCAATAGGGACCTCTCACGGTCGTGCTCGGGCCCTAAATATAATCCGAGCAGATTCAATAGGGACCTCGCACGGTCGTGCTCGGGCCCAAAAAATAAAAAAAATATTAAAGCTGCAAGCAGCGTTGGGCGGGCCCTCGCACTTGTAGCGCGTCCGCGCGTGACTCGGCCGAGTTGCATATTCTGGAGCTCTGCCGGTGCGGCTGTGAATTTGTTACGCGGTTATGTCGCTGCATGAAGGTGTATATGTCACTTCCTGTGTCCCCTATGTGGAGCTACATAGCACTTGCAGCTATGAATATAAATCGGTATTGACGTGTAGATGTCTGCGGGGTGGGAGAGTTATCAAGCACGTAAAGTTTGTTTCAGATGTGAGCATGTACACTGAACAATAATGTACCCAAACAATAAAATAAATTCCTTTTATATTTCCCTGCCTTGTTGTTTATGTGTACATACAGAGGAAGAATGTGAGAACAGCACACATTTCATCGTTACTGTGTGTTAGAGCATGGGAGAACAGTGGATACTTTTAATACAGCCCACACCCCTAATACTGTGTAACTATAACAAGTAGAGAACAGAAGAAAAAGATGTTCTTTCTTTACAACTGTCTGCATAGCTTATTCATATTGTGTAATGAATGAAAATAAATAGGCCTACTAGGCTCCTCTCTACTTTGACATTTAAGATTAGCTTGTTTGATCCACCTTCATACACATGTGACATTACTGTACAACTTGAGAAAGGTGAGTTGTTTTCTGCTCCAGCCTGCCTAAAAGAAAGCGTTTTTGGGATTAAATGGACTTTATTAGCTGCTGCAGTGCAGGATGAACTCAGAACAGACCCATTTCTCACCTTATTATTCTAAATCATGCAACGAAGAAGAAGAAATGCATAAGAAATCCTGGGACAAAATCTGTCCACAAATACTGTACAGCATGTAGTCTGATGAACAAGACTTGTGTTATAGCTGACTTGGGCAGTGAAATGTTTAATTTTTTTAATTCATGTGGTCATAGTTGTCCACAACTCAAATCAGAATATAAGAAGAAATGTTTTATACCACCTCAAGAAGGCTTCCTATCAGAAAGGTAGGAAGGTATTTCAAATGTAAAACTGCAGTACTTAAATCTAAGTAAAGTAATTTCCCTGACATTACTGTTACGCATGTAACAGGTTTTATACTTCCTGTGAGTATAATCCAATCAATCTTATTTTCATACTGTATATCTGTTGTGTAATTTGATAAATTGTGTTGTATGTGGTGCTCGCATCGGGTACTACTGAGACTTCATTGCCCTCTCAGAGAAGACTCTGATTGCAACATGCGTCTTTGTAAAGAGAGAAACAGACAGAAAAAGTCTCTAACTCTGCCTGTCAGCTCGCTCTGCTCCGTTAAAACTGAATTTACCATACAGAATTGAATACGAGTGCACTCCAGATTTAGCTGCAGCCAGCTGACCGTGTGCTTCTCCCTATACCGCAGTTCTGTGTCCATGCATGCAGCAAACTGAAAGCACTGTCTGTCGGTGCTTCTACGTGAAAAGAGAAGGAAGACATTGCTGGTAGTGTTGTCTTCAGAGTTGTTAAACACCTCAGCGCACTGAAGGAAGCCATCTGACTGTGTGAGGGGCAAGATCGTTGATGTCTGCAGGCAGAGTAGGAGCTCTCCTGTCTGACTGGTCCACCAATAGCAGAGAAGATGACCCCTTGAGACACAGCCCCTCCTCATTTGCATAATGAGGCAGAAATGCATACAAAATTTAAAAAGACAGGCAGAAATAAATACCATGGGTGAAAATAAATAAGGTAAATAAATACAAAGGAAGAATAAAACAGACAAAAATATTAAAACACACACATAAATAAATACATTAAAAAAATTAGTAATAAATAAAGTTGAATAAACAAATAAGGTAATTATAACAAAGGTGAATAAGTAAAGGCACTAATTAAAATATATACATTTATGTCTCCTTGTATAATTTAATTACTACCTACATTTATTTATTTACTTAATTTTTTGTGTATTTAATTGGATGCTTATTTATTTATTGAGCACTTATTTATTTCTGTATTTATTTCTGACTGTGTCAGGATCGGTCCTCCATAGTGGGGTGGGAGAGTTATCAAGCACGTAAAGTTTGGTTCAGATGTGAGCATGTACACTGAAGTTACAACAACTTCCTGTGTCATGGCGAAGACTTGATCTCTGACGCCACGCCACGGACACGCCCATTGACGAAAACTTGCAAATAGCACAACTTTTCATCTTCAATGCCTTTAGAAGGCACAGCACAAATTTGAGGTCGGTCGGACTAAATCCCTAGGAGGAGTTCGTTAAAGTACGAAGTGTGTAAATCATCCAAAATTTGACGTAAAATTCAAAATGGCCGACTTCCTGTTGGGTTTAGGCTATGGCTCCAAGAGACTTTTTTGTGCGTCTGGACAAGATACACGTACCACAGAAAATTCGTGCACGTAGGTGAAACGTGCGGCGGGGGCTGCTTCGTTAAAAGTCACTTCCTGTTGCCAGCAGGTGGCGCTATGACTGTGGGTGAATGTCAGCATGTACATGTGTTCAGGGCGGGACTCTCATCCTACATGTACAGTTTGGTGCAGATGTGAGCATGTACACTGAAGTTACGACAACTTCCGTGTCATGGCGAAGAGTTGATCTTTGACGCCACGCTACGGACACGCCCATTGACGAAAACTTGCAAATAGCACAACTTTTCATCTTCAATGCCTTTAGAAGGCACAGCACAAATTTGAGGTCGGTCGGACTAAATCCCTAGGAGGAGTTCGTTAAAGTACGAAGTGTGTAAATCATCCAAAATTTGACGTAAAATTCAAAATGGCCGACTTCCTGTTGGATTTAGGGCATCGCTCCAAGAGACTTTTTTGTGCGTCTGGACAAGATACACGTACCACAGAAAATTTGTATACGTAGGTGAAACGTGCGGCGGGGGCTGCTTCGATAAAAGTCACTTCCTGTTGCCAGCAGGTGGCGCTATGACTGTTGGTGAATGTCGGCATGTACATGTGTTCAAGGCGGGACTCTCATCCTACATGTACACTTTGGTCCAGATGTGAGCATGTACACTAAAGTTACAACAACTTCCTGTTTCATGGCGAATCATCAACGCCACAGACACGCCCATTGACGAAAACTCGCAAATAGCACATGCTATTGCCCGTGCTCTAGCGTATAATAATAAACATAGTAAGAGAAAATAAACTACATGGTTATGGTTAGGGAAAGTTCGTCTTCATTGTTTAATATGTTTAAAACTCCACCACTCTACGTTAACTGCACACTTCTTTCATTCACACTTAACAATGTCACTGAGTATAAACTGTGTCCTGTTGAATTGTAAAATGCTTTTTATTGGAAATAAATATATAGTACATTACATACAGCATGTATTTGCATTTTTTAAATGTTAACAATGCCACATGAAAAATAGCATATAAAGAAGCAAAAAAACAAATATACTGAATGTCAACTGCCACACAAATGCCCAAAACATATAAAATATAGTATTTTTTTTATCTTAAATAAGATGATAAAATATGATAATAAAATAATCTTAATGATTGATTATTGATTGATGATTATTTAAATTAAATGGAAGTTAAATACTAGTGATTTCAAAATCAATTCTGAGAATAATGAAAAACTCAAAATTTTGGCACATCTTTTTACCACATCACATAGTATTGGTAATTTTCATAATGCACACTTATATCTTTTGGCTTTGGTTTGTTGGATAAAAACTGCATGCCGGTTATAGGTCTGTCAGTATCTGTGCCACAGCCAGCAGTGTTAGGGAAAACACTGCCAATGAGCCCGCTGTGGGACGAGGAGAACTGTTTGATGTTGATGTTGACTCTGAAATATTAGAAAAGGCAGAGGTCAGTGACATTCTCTGGACTACAAGTAACTTCACACGTTCAAAATGCAGGCTTTAAAGGTAACTTCATCCCAACTTTGAGCCTTCACCTTGCTTTCCAATTTAAAAATAACCAGAGATTTAAACAAAAGATTCTAACATGCATTTAATAATTTAATAAATGTAAACCATAAAATCGTAAAGTTTGACTTTTAAGTCTTTAATAACTTACGTGCAGACACGCTGCCCGGTATAATGTTCAGGGATGTAGACGTGCTAGTAAGTGCACTACTGAGTTGTGAAGTTGCAGTGCTTGCTGAAGGAACTGAGTTTTTATCCGTGAACACAAGGGTCGTGTTGACAACCACTGATCCACTCCTAAAATGAAAGAGAGAAATCAACACGTTTAAAAAGCAAGTCAACAACACGTGTAGCAAATTTTGTCAGTGATTGACATTTAGTCTTACCTGAATGAGTTGACTATGGAGCGACGGAAAAATGGTCCAAACAGCTTTCCACACACTCCATTTACCTGAAAGGTAACATTACTGTGATTTGCAAATATAAATACAACAAATAGCCACACGCCCAATGAACAGTTTGCAACAAAGCAGAAGCGTTGCTAAGTTTTGAAGACATTGAGAGTGAACCCCACTGGGATCTCTGCTCAACTTCACTTTAGCAGATGTTGCTAACTTGCAAGCAAATAGGAACAGAAAACATCCCTCCTTCCAGTGTAATGCAATAATCAATGAGTACATTAATATATTCTATTCTTAAAACATGGTTGGTGTGTCTTCAAATAAAGCAACAGCTCTATGGGCTACAAAGCTCTTACAGAATTTTACTACAGACTTGCCTTAATTGACAATATCACACATATCTGGTTTGCCCTACATTATTTAATTTAATTTGTTTAGCTTATTTATTTTTTCATGTAAAACAATTAATTTGAAATAGTAGCACAAATGTGTTGATTTCTCTAAGATTATATTCTATGTTTCCGGGAATTCAGTGGCAGTTAGAGCCATAGATTAACGTGTTTTGCTATGATTGGAAGTCGCAAAATCTTTTAAGTTTAGCTTAGCCTTCATTATCTGCATTTACTTCTAAGATCACTGAAGGGTTGCCAGAACAAGTGATAAAAATTTGGCCAAATTGGGAGAAAAAGGACGTAACAGGAATTCCAAGAATAATGTTGGCTGTCATTGTTTCCAAATGAAAATTAGACTGAATGATTATTCTACATAAATGCAAAAATATTAGCAACAGGAGTGTTCTTATATTCAGTGTACATGATTGATGATGATGATTTCCCAAAAGCATTATATATGTGTGTGTGTGTGTATATATATATATATATATATATATATATATATATATATTTACGTTTTTTAACGTTTGATGCCCCTGGAAAAAGTATTTTTACAAAGTATTTATTTGCAGAAAAAGTTTTTGTTATTAGAAGCACACTGTTGGAGTGCATAGCCAGCTTACCTCTCTGACCACTAGTGCAGCTAAAGTCTGAAACGCTGCTGATGATGGGTTGGAGAGATCTGATGTAAATGTTTGGTCCAGACTAAAAGTAAGACCAAGGGTTCCCTCACTAGATGTAGGAGGATTTGTTGATGCAGTGGTAGTTGAAGCAACTGTAGCATTAGGAGCTGCTGTGGGGGCAGCAGAGGAAACAGGTGCACCAAAACCAATGGTTTATCAATTAATATGACACTGTAACATGCATTTAATTTAAATAGATTAATACATAGATTGATTAAGTCTGATTTTTATGTTTTCAATAACTTACTTATATTAATGCTTCCTTGTATGAAGCTCAGGGAGGTAGAGTTACTCATAATTGCAGTATTGAGTTCTGAAGTCGCATTGCTTGCTGAAGGAACTGAGTTTGGATCTGTGAAGACAAGGGTAGAGTCGACAACCACTGATCCACTCCTACGATGACAAAGAAAGAAAGCAAATATTTTTAAAAACAAGTCAACAACATGTCTAGCAAACGTTTGTCAGTAATCTTGTTTTACCTGAATGCCCTGATGATGGCACGTCGGAAAGATGATCCGTACAGCTTTGCAAACAGTCTGTTTAACTGAAAGGTAACGTTACAGTGATTTTGAAATTTAACTTTGTTCTGTTTAGTTTGGAGGCAGATACATCTCATACATATGTATGATGGCATGTTGTTTTCAGAGAAAGAAAAACTTGAATATTCTTTGAAATTAAAGTCGTAAATTTATGAGAAAGGGTTAGGGTTAATAAAGTACTGAGCCTTTAATAGGGCTTCTGAAAAGTAACATTTTCCAAGTATTTTTCTCGCAAATGTGTGGCGAATTTTTTCTTAGAATATTAACCTCCGTAATCATTTAAAAAACAAACTACCATAGCCTTAATATGCTGTCGTACATACATTATCTTATGCACACAAAAATGTTTACAAGATTAAGAAGACATACCTGACTGTTCTACAGTACCAATATATTTGGCAAATTATGGAAAAAAGGAATGGGAGTTAACCTATTTAAACAATAATATTAGCTTTACAATGACAATTATGTGGACAAATAGAATTACCAAATTGTGATCTACATCAATGCAAGAGCGTTAGCAACGTGAGTATATTCAAGAACCCATTCATCAGGTATTGTACTTTCTGTGCCCTTATTATGTACTATTCTGGTACATTGCGTCGCTTGGCTACAATCGCCACTGCCATGATCACTGGAAAGTCGGGGCGGGACATGTCAGTTACCGCCAAGTCTCTGAAGATGCTAACAATTTCACTCTATGTGTGGTTAATGGTGCTGGTGTTTGGGAATTGGACATGGACCCCCAGTCATGACACCTGCCCAGTGACATCTGGTTTGGGAGTGAGTCTGTCTTTGTTTATTTTCTTGACTTCGGGTGAAAGCGGTGTGCTTGGTATGTTTTGGTTTTATCTGTGTTTCTCTCGCTCGCTCGGTCTCTCTTGCTCTCTCTCTCTTTCTGTCGCTCTTTTCCTTTCCAGATGAGACTGTGGATGTTACCTCTGGCTTCCCTGGTTTGGTACTTTTCCTAAGCTGCCAGGAATTGGCATTCACACGCCTGATCATGATCAAGCCAATCAGCCTCCCTTCTTAAGGACAGAACAGATATCCAGTCCCTATTGGATTGGTCATTCTTAGTATGTCTAGGAACATGTACCAGCCAGCCTGTTTGCTTGCTACTACTATTTTGTATGACTGGATTATCTGCCTTTTTGTCTGCCTGCCTTGCTAACTGGGATTTTCCCTGTCTCCAGGAATCACAACCAGACGTCTGCCTCAATCTACCGGAACAGCCATTTTAGTTAGCCACGGAACTCTCTGGACCACTTGTTACTTGTCTATTAGTGCTATTTGTCCTACTTATAGGTGGGGCTGGCTCAGGTGATCCCTGAACCATCGTAGTTATGCTGTTACTGGCCTAGATTGACGGGAGACTTCCCATGATGCACTGAGCTCCCCTCTCCTGCCCCTCCATCTGTATGCATTATTATCCCATTAATGCAAGATACTAATGCCACATCTCCCCTCTCCTATAGTTTTGTGCTTTCTCATCACTCCTTTCACTTTCAGGAGGTATTTCTGCCTCTGGAGCTGTGCAGTCTGAATCTAATATTACAAGCCAGTACTGCCCCCATGTTCCTGCTCGACACCCACTGCTACAATTATTATCATTATCAGTGCTATAACTATATTTATCTATTTGTATTATTACCACTTCCATTACTATTATTTTAAATCTCTATGTGGAACTTACATTGTGCACTGTGTGTTCTCTTTCATCCTGCTACTCACCGCAGAAGCCGCACAATCCTTTTGTATAATCGCCCATAAATGTGCATGTTATTCAGAGAATATTGTTTGAGTAAAAAGCATGCTATGATAGTGCATGGGCATTTTACCTCGCTGACCACTGATATAGCTAATGTCTGGAACGCTGCAGAGGATGGATTGGAGAGATCTGATGTAAAGGTTTGGTCAAGACGAAACTGAAGACCCAGGGTTCCCTCACTGGGTGAAGGTGGATTTGTTGATGCAGTGGTGGTTGAAGCTGGTGCAGAAGTAGATGCGGTTGTTGCACTGGTATCTGTAGTTGTGCGTGCAGTAGGTGAAGCTGTCGTATTAGGAAGTGCAGTTGGAGCCGCTGTGGTGACGGCTGTTGCGTTAGTAGCTGCAATAGGGGCAGCTGTAGCATTAGGAGCTGCAGTTGGAGAAGCTGTCGGGGCAGCTGTAGTGTTAGGAGCTGCTGTGGAAGAAGCAGCTGTACCAAAACCAATGGTTTATCAATTAATATGAGACTGTAACATGCATTTAATTTAAATAGATTAATACACAGATTGATTAAGTCTGATTTTTGTGTTTTCAATAACTTACTTATATTAATGCTTCCTGGTATAATGTTCAAGGAGTTAGAGCTGCTCGTAATTGCAGTATTGAGTTCTGAAGTCGCATTGCTTGCTGAAGGAACTGAGTTTGGATCTGTGAAGACAAGGGTAGAGTCGACAACCACTGATCCACTCCTACGATGACAAAGAAAGAAAGCAACTATTTTTAAAAGCAAGTCCACAAAATTTCTAGCAAACGTTTGTCAGTAATCTTGTCTTACCTGAATGCCCTGATGATGGCACGTCGGAAAGATGATCCGTACAGCTTTGCAAACAGTCTGTTTAACTGAAAGGTAACGTTACAGTGATTTTGAAATTGAACTTTGTTCTGTTTAGTTTGGAGGCAGATACATCTCATACATATGTATGATGGCATGTTGTTTTCAGAGAAAGAAAAACTTGAATATTCTTTGAAATTAAAGTCGTAAATTTATGAGAAAGGGTTAGGGTTAATAAAGTACTGAGCCTTTAATAACACAAGGGCTTCTGAAAAATAATATTTTCCAAGTTTTTTTCTCGCAAATGTGTGGCAAATTTTTTCTCAGAATATTAACCTCTGCCAGCTCTGTAATCATTTAAAAAACAAACTACCATAGCCTTAATATGCTGTCGTACATACATTATCTTATGCACACAAAAATGTTTACAAGATTAAGAAGACATACCTGACTGTTCTACAGTACCAATATATTTGGCAAATTATGGAAAAAAGGAATGGGAGTTAACCTATTTAAACAATAATATTAGCTTTACAATGACAATTATGTGGACAAATAGAATTACCAAATTGTGATTTACATCAATGCAAGAGCGTTAGCATCGTGAGTATATTCAAGAACCCATTCATCAGGTATTGTACTTTCTGTGCCCTTATTATGTACTATTCTGGTACATTGCGTCGCTTGGCTACAATCGCCACTGCCATGATCACTGGAAAGTCGGGGCGGGACATGTCAGTTACCGCCAAGTCTCTGAAGATGCTAACAATTTCACTCTATGTGTGGTTAATGGTGCTGGTGTTTGGGAATTGGACATGGACCCCCAGTCATGACACCTGCCCAGTGACATCTGGTTTGGGAGTGAGTCTGTCTTTGTTTATTTTCTTGACTTCGGGTGAAAGCGGTGTGCTTGGTATGTTTTGGTTTTATCTGTGTTTCTCTCGCTCGCTCGGTCTCTCTTGCTCTCTCTCTCTTTCTGTCGCTCTCTTTTCCTTTCCAGATGAGACTGTGGATGTTACCTCTGGCTTCCCTGGTTTGGTACTTTTCCTAAGCTGCCAGGAATTGGCATTCACACGCCTGATCATGATCAAGCCAATCAGCCTCCCTTCTTAAGGACAGAACAGATATCCAGTCCCTATTGGATTGGTCATTCTTAGTATGTCTAGGAACATGTACCAGCCAGCCTGTTTGCTTGCTACTACTATTTTGTATGACTGGATTATCTGCCTTTTTTGTCTGCCTGCCTTGCTAACTGGGATTTTCCCTGTCTCCAGGAATCACAACCAGACGTCTGCCTCAATCTACCGGAACAGCCATTTTAGTTAGCCACGGAACTCTCTGGACCACTTGTTACTTGTCTATTAGTGCTATTTGTCCTACTTATAGGTGGGGCTGGCTCAGGTGATCCCTGAACCATCGTAGTTATGCTGTTACTGGCCTAGATTGACGGGAGACTTCCCATGATGCACTGAGCTCCCCTCTCCTGCCCCTCCATCTGTATGCATTATTATCCCATTAATGCAAGATACTAATGCAACATCTTCCCTCTCCTATAGTTTTGTGCTTTCTCTTCACTCCTTTCACTTTCAGGAGGTATTTCTGCCTCTGGAGCTGTGCAGTCTGAATCTAATATTACAAGCCAGTACTGCCCCCATGTTCCTGCTCGACACCCACTGCTACAATTATTATCATTATCAGTGCTATAACTATATTTATCTATTTGTATTATTACCACTTCCATTACTATTATTTTAAATCTCTATGTGGAACTTACATTGTGCACTGTGTGTTCTCTTTCATCCTGCTACTCACCGCAGAAGCCGCACAATCCTTTTGTATAATCGCCCATAAATGTGCATGTTATTCAGAGAATATTGTTTGAGTAAAAAGCATGCTATGATAGTGCATGGGCATTTTACCTCGCTGACCACTGATATAGCTAATGTCTGGAACGCTGCAGAGGATGGATTGGAGAGATCTGATGTAAAGGTTTGGTCAAGACGAAACTGAAGACCCAGGGTTCCCTCACTGGGTGAAGGTGGATTTGTTGATGCAGTGGTGGTTGAAGCTGGTGCAGAAGTAGATGCGGTTGTTGCACTGGTATCTGTAGTTGTGCGTGCAGTAGGTGAAGCTGTCGTATTAGGAAGTGCAGTTGGAGCCGCTGTGGTGACGGCTGTTGCGTTAGTAGCTGCAATAGGGGCAGCTGTAGCATTAGGAGCTGCAGTTGGAGAAGCTGTCGGGGCAGCTGTAGTGTTAGGAGCTGCTGTGGAAGAAGCAGCTGTACCAAAACCAATGGTTTATCAATTAATATGAGACTGTAACATGCATTTAATTTAAATAGATTAATACACAGATTGATTAAGTCTGATTTTTGTGTTTTCAATAACTTACTTATATTAATGCTTCCTGGTATAATGTTCAAGGAGTTAGAGCTGCTCGTAATTGCAGTATTGAGTTCTGAAGTCGCATTGCTTGCTGAAGGAACTGAGTTTGGATCTGTGAAGACAAGGGTAGAGTCGACAACCACTGATCCACTCCTACGATGACAAAGAAAGAAAGCAACTATTTTTAAAAGCAAGTCCACAAAATTTCTAGCAAACGTTTGTCAGTAATCTTGTCTTACCTGAATGCCCTGATGATGGCACGTCGGAAAGATGATCCGTACAGCTTTGCAAACAGTCTGTTTAACTGAAAGGTAACGTTACAGTGATTTTGAAATTGAACTTTGTTCTGTTTAGTTTGGAGGCAGATACATCTCATACATATGTATGATGGCATGTTGTTTTCAGAGAAAGAAAAACTTGAATATTCTTTGAAATTAAAGTCGTAAATTTATGAGAAAGGGTTAGGGTTAATAAAGTACTGAGCCTTTAATAACACAAGGGCTTCTGAAAAATAATATTTTCCAAGTTTTTTTCTCGCAAATGTGTGGCAAATTTTTTCTCAGAATATTAACCTCTGCCAGCTCTGTAATCATTTAAAAAACAAACTACCATAGCCTTAATATGCTGTCGTACATACATTATCTTATGCACACAAAAATGTTTACAAGATTAAGAAGACATACCTGACTGTTCTACAGTACCAATATATTTGGCAAATTATGGAAAAAAGGAATGGGAGTTAACCTATTTAAACAATAATATTAGCTTTACAATGACAATTATGTGGACAAATAGAATTACCAAATTGTGATTTACATCAATGCAAGAGCGTTAGCAACGTGAGTATATTCAAGAACCCATTCATCAGGTATTGTACTTTCTGTGCCCTTATTATGTACTATTCTGGTACATTGCGTCGCTTGGCTACAATCGCCACTGCCATGATCACTGGAAAGTCGGGGCGGGACATGTCAGTTACCGCCAAGTCTCTGAAGATGCTAACAATTTCACTCTATGTGTGGTTAATGGTGCTGGTGTTTGGGAATTGGACATGGACCCCCAGTCATGACACCTGCCCAGTGACATCTGGTTTGGGAGTGAGTCTGTCTTTGTTTATTTTCTTGACTTCGGGTGAAAGCGGTGTGCTTGGTATGTTTTGGTTTTATCTGTGTTTCTCTCGCTCGCTCGGTCTCTCTTGCTCTCTCTCTCTTTCTGTCGCTCTCTTTTCCTTTCCAGATGAGACTGTGGATGTTACCTCTGGCTTCCCTGGTTTGGTACTTTTCCTAAGCTGCCAGGAATTGGCATTCACACGCCTGATCATGATCAAGCCAATCAGCCTCCCTTCTTAAGGACAGAACAGATATCCAGTCCCTATTGGATTGGTCATTCTTAGTATGTCTAGGAACATGTACCAGCCAGCCTGTTTGCTTGCTACTACTATTTTGTATGACTGGTTTATCTGCCTTTTTTGTCTGCCTGCCTTGCTAACTGGGATTTTCCCTGTCTCCGGGAATCACAACCAGACGTCTGCCTCAATCTACCGGAACAGCCATTTTAGTTAGCCACGGAACTCTCTGGACCACTTGTTACTTGTCTATTAGTGCTATTTGTCCTACTTATAGGTGGGGCTGGCTCAGGTGATCCCTGAACCATCGTAGTTATGCTGTTACTGGCCTAGATTGACGGGAGACTTCCCATGATGCACTGAGCTCCCCTCTCCTGCCCCTCCATCTGTATGCATTATTATCCCATTAATGCAAGATACTAATGCCACATCTCCCCTCTCCTATAGTTTTGTGCTTTCTCATCACTCCTTTCACTTTCAGCAGGTATTTCTGCCTCTGGAGCTGTGCAGTCTGAATCTAATATTACAAGCCAGTACTGCCCCCATGTTCCTGCTCGACACCCACTGCTACAATTATTATCATTATCAGTGCTATAACTATATTTATCTATTTGTATTATTACCACTTCCATTACTATTATTTTAAATCTCTATGTGGAACTTACATTGTGCACTGTGTGTTCTCTTTCATCCTGCTACTCACCGCAGAAGCCGCACAATCCTTTTGTATAATCGCCCATAAATGTGCATGTTATTCAGAGAATATTGTTTGAGTAAAAAGCATGCTATGATAGTGCATGGGCATTTTACCTCGCTGACCACTGATATAGCTAATGTCTGGAACGCTGCAGAGGATGGATTGGAGAGATCTGATGTAAAGGTTTGGTCAAGACGAAACTGAAGACCCAGGGTTCCCTCACTGGGTGAAGGTGGATTTGTTGATGCAGTGGTGGTTGAAGCTGGTGCAGAAGTAGATGCGGTTGTTGCACTGGTATCTGTAGTTGTGCGTGCAGTAGGTGAAGCTGTCGTATTAGGAAGTGCAGTTGGAGCCGCTGTGGTGACGGCTGTTGCGTTAGTAGCTGCAATAGGGGCAGCTGTAGCATTAGGAGCTGCAGTTGGAGAAGCTGTCGGGGCAGCTGTAGTGTTAGGAGCTGCTGTGGAAGAAGCAGCTGTACCAAAACCAATGGTTTATCAATTAATATGAGACTGTAACATGCATTTAATTTAAATAGATTAATACACAGATTGATTAAGTCTGATTTTTGTGTTTTCAATAACTTACTTATATTAATGCTTCCTGGTATAATGTTCAAGGAGTTAGAGCTGCTCGTAATTGCAGTATTGAGTTCTGAAGTCGCATTGCTTGCTGAAGGAACTGAGTTTGGATCTGTGAAGACAAGGGTAGAGTCGACAACCACTGATCCACTCCTACGATGACAAAGAAAGAAAGCAACTATTTTTAAAAGCAAGTCCACAAAATTTCTAGCAAACGTTTGTCAGTAATCTTGTCTTACCTGAATGCCCTGATGATGGCACGTCGGAAAGATGATCCGTACAGCTTTGCAAACAGTCTGTTTAACTGAAAGGTAACGTTACAGTGATTTTGAAATTGAACTTTGTTCTGTTTAGTTTGGAGGCAGATACATCTCATACATATGTATGATGGCATGTTGTTTTCAGAGAAAGAAAAACTTGAATATTCTTTGAAATTAAAGTCGTAAATTTATGAGAAAGGGTTAGGGTTAATAAAGTACTGAGCCTTTAATAACACAAGGGCTTCTGAAAAATAATATTTTCCAAGTTTTTTTCTCGCAAATGTGTGGCAAATTTTTTCTCAGAATATTAACCTCTGCCAGCTCTGTAATCATTTAAAAAACAAACTACCATAGCCTTAATATGCTGTCGTACATACATTATCTTATGCACACAAAAATGTTTACAAGATTAAGAAGACATACCTGACTGTTCTACAGTACCAATATATTTGGCAAATTATGGAAAAAAGGAATGGGAGTTAACCTATTTAAACAATAATATTAGCTTTACAATGACAATTATGTGGACAAATAGAATTACCAAATTGTGATTTACATCAATGCAAGAGCGTTAGCATCGTGAGTATATTCAAGAACCCATTCATCAGGTACTTTCTGTGCCCTTATTATGTACTACTCTGGACCATTGCGTCGCTTGGCTACAATCGCCACTGCCATGATCACTGGAAAGTCGGGGCGGGACATGTCAGTTACCGCCAACTCTCTGAAGATGCTAACAATTTCACTCTATGTGTGGTTAATGGTGCTGGTGTTTGGGAATTGGACATGGACCCCCTGTCATGACACCTGCCCAGTGACATCTGGTTTGGGAGTGAGTCTGTCTTTGTTTATTTTCTTGACTTCGGGTGAAAGCGGTGTGCTTGGTATGTTTTGGTTTTATCTGTGTTTCTCTCGCTCGCTCGGTCTCTCTTGCTCTCTCTCTTTCTGTCGCTCTCTTTTCCTTTCCAGATGAGACTGTGGATGTTACCTCTGGCTTCCCTGGTTTGGTACTTTTCCTAAGCTGCCAGGAATTGGCATTGACACGTCTGATCATGATCAAGCCAATCAGCCTCCCTTCTTAAGGACAGAACAGATATCCAGTCCCTATTGGATTGGTCATTCTTAGTATGTCTAGGAACATGTACCAGCCAGCCTGTTTGCTTGCTACTACTATTTTGTATGACTGGTTTATCTGCCTTTTTTGTCTGCCTGCCTTGCTAACTGGGATTTTCCCTGTCTCCGGGAATCACAACCAGACGTCTGCCTCAATCTACCGGAACAGCCATCTTAGCAAGCCACGGAACTCTCTGGACCACTTGTTACTTGTCTATTTGTGCTATTTGTCCTACTTATAGGTGGGGCTGGCTCAGGTGATCCCTGAACCATCGTAGTTATGCTGTTACTGGCCTAGATTGACGGGAGACTTCCCATGATGCACTGAGCTGCCCCTCTCCTGCCCCTCCATCTGTATGCATTATTATCCCATTAATGCAAGATACTAATGCAACATCTTCCCTCTCCTATAGTTTTGTGCTTTCTCTTCACTCCTTTCACTTTCAGGAGGTATTTCTGCCTCTGGAGCTGTGCGGTCTGAATCTAATATTACAAGCCAGTACTGCCCCCATGTTCCTGCTCGACACCCACTGCTACAATTATTATCATTATCAGTGCTATAACTATATTTATCTATTTGTATTATTACCACTTCCATTACTATTATTTTAAATCTCTATGTGGAACTTACATTGTGCACTGTGTGTTCTCTTTCATCCTGCTACTCACCGCAGAAGCCGCACAATCCTTTTGTATAATCGCCCATAAATGTGCATGTTATTCAGAGAATATTGTTTGAGTAAAAAGCATGCTATGATAGTGCATGGGCATTTTACCTCGCTGACCACTGATATAGCTAATGTCTGGAACGCTGCAGAGGATGGATTGGAGAGATCTGATGTAAAGGTTTGGTCAAGACGAAACTGAAGACCCAGGGTTCCCTCACTGGGTGAAGGTGGATTTGTTGATGCAGTGGAGGTTGAAGCTGGTGCAGCAGTAGAAGCGGTTGTTGCACTGGTAACTGTAATGTTGGGAGCCGCTGTGGTGACAGCTGTTGCATTAGGAGATGCAGTTGGAGCCACTGTAATGTTGGGAGCCGCTGTCGGGCCAGCTGTTGCATTAGGAGCTGCAGTTTGAGCCACTGTAATGTTGGGAGCCGCTGTCGGGCCAGCTGTTGCATTAGGAGCTGCAGTTGGAGCCACTGTAATGTTGGGAGCCGTTGTCGGGCCAGCTGTTGCATTAGGAGCTGCAGTTGGAGCCACTGTAATGTTGGGAGCCGCTGTCTGGGCAGCTGTTGCATTAGGAGCTGCAGTTGGAGCCACTGTAATGTTGGGAGCCGCTGTCGGGCCAGCTGTTGCATTAGGCGCTGCAGTTGGAGCCACTGTAATGTTGGGAGCCGCTGTCTGGGCAGCTGTAGCATTCGGAGCTGCAGTTGGAGCCACTGTAATGTTGGGAGCCGCTGTCTGGGCAGCTGTTGCATTAGGAGCTGTAGTTTGAGCCACTGTAATGTTGGGAGCTGCTGTCGGGCCAGCTGTTGCATTAGAAGCTGCAGTTGGAGCCACTGTAATGTTGGGAGCCGCTGTCGGGCCAGCTGTAGCATTAGGAGCTGCAGTTGGAGCCACTGTAATGTTGGGAGCCGCTGTTGGGCCAGCTGTAGCATTAGGAGCTGCAGTTGGAGCCACTGTAATGTTGGGAGCCGCTGTCGCGACAGCTGTTGCATTAGGAGCTGTAGTTTGAGCCACTGTAATGTTGGGAGCCGCTGTCGGGGCAGCTGTTGCATTAGGAGCTGCAGTTGGAGCCACTGTAATGTTGGGAGCCGCTGTCGGGCCAGCTGTTGCATTAGGAGCTGCAGTTGGAGCCACTGTAATGTTGGGAGCCGCTGTCGGGACAGCTGTTGCATTAGGAGCTGCAGTTGGAGCCACTGTAATGTTGGGAGCCGCTGTCGGGGCAGCTGTTGCATTAGGAGCTGCAGTTGGAGCCACTGTAATGTTGGGAGCCGCTGTCGGGCCAGCTGTTGCGTTAGGTGCTTCAGTTGGAGCCACTGTAATGTTGGGAGCCGCTGTCGGGCCAGCTGTTGCGTTAGGAGCTGCAGTTGGAGCCACTGTAATGTTGGGAGCCGCTGTCGGGCTGGCTGTTGCATTAGGAGCTGCAGTTGGAGCCACTGTAATGTTGGGAGCCGCTGTCGGGCCGGCTGTTGCGTTAGGAGCTGCAGTTGGAGCCACTGTAATGTTGGGAGCCGCTGTCGGGCCAGCTGTTGCATTAGGTGCTTCAGTTGGAGCCACTGTAATGTTGGGAGCTGCTGTTGGGACAGCTGTTGCATTAGGAGCTGCAATAGGTCCAGCTGTTGCATTAGGAGCTGCAGTTGGAGCAGCTGTTGGGGCAGCTGTAGCGTTAGTTGCGGCGCTGGAAAAAGCAGCTGTACCAAAGCCAATGGTTTATCGATTAATATACTGTAACATGCATTTAATTTAAATAGATGAGATTAAAAATATGAATACAAAAATTGATTAAGTTTGACTTTTGTGTCTTAAATTACTTACTTATGTTAAAGCTTCCTGGTATAATGTTCAGGGTAGAGTTGCTTGTAAGTGCAGTACTGAGTTGTGCAGTTGCATTGCTTGCTGGAGGAACTGAGTTTGGATCTGTGAACACCATGGTCGAGTCAACAACCACTGATCCACTCCTACAATGGCAAAGAAAGAAAGCAACTCTTTTAAAAGCAAGTGACCAGCAAATGTCAAGAAAAAATAAGTCAGTGATTGAAATTTATTCATACCTGAATGCGTTGATGATGGCGCGTAGGAAAGATAATCCATACAGCCTTTTACCCACATTGTTTAGCTGAAAGACAACATTACAGTGATTTTCAATCCAATGGCTTAAAACAAATTAGTTGTGGTTGGACTGGAGGTAGATAAATCTCAAATGTGGACACGACGGCATATTAGGGCCATTGTAGATAAATAGATAATATGATGGAGCTGCTGGAGGGAGGTCATATTCCAAGACATACAACTCAGAATTTTCGAGGTTAAAGTTATTATTTTAATCACAATAAAACATAAAATAATGTTTTCCAAGTTTTTCCAGGCACTAATAATACAAGAAAAGAGTCAGTGAATTACAATAACTATTCTAATTTTCTCTTGACTCCCACTGCTCTTTCATTTGTTTCTATTTGCTAGCTGTCTCTCGTTTTTCTATGGCTTACTCTGTAGTGTGCTGGACTGTTACAGTGTGTAAACTCTCTCTCCCTCCCTGTCTCCCTTATCCCCACCTGGTCGAGGCAGATGGCCGCCTACCCTGAGTCTTTAGTCTGTTCACAGTGTCTCTACCTCCTAAATGGTAGTTTTTTCTTGCCTCTGTCACCAAGTGCTTGTTAATGGTAGGAATGGTTGGGTGTTTTAGATTTGCTCTATATGAAATGTGCAATGATATTACTTTTGTTTTAAATTGGCATTATAGGAATACATTTTTAATTGAACTAAAGTGAACCATTGTCTCCACTTCTCACAGCAGTTTTATGTTGTTTTCAAGTTTAATTCCAAGGTGGTGAATATCAGGTATTGAATTTCTGTGCCCTTACGATATAGCCTACTATGGTGGATCATTGCTTCACCTGGCTAAAATCACCACTGTCATGATCACAGAAAAGTCTGGGCGCAGCACCCCTATAAATGCTCTGTAGTTATCACCAACTCTTAATATGTAATTTTACTCTCACTGCTGGTGTTTGTGAATTAGTATTTGTTGCAATATATTATCTATTTGTGCTATTTTGTTTTTATTTATAGCTGAGGCTGGTTCAGGTGAGCTCTGAACCTTATCTGAGCTATGCTGCTATTGGCCTAGACTGCCAGGAGACTTCCCTTGATGCACTGAGCTCCCATCTCCTCCCCCTCCATCTGTATGCATTATTTTTCCAGTATTGCATGAGCTCTGGAGCTGTGCAAACTGGATCCAGTATTGCAAGCCACGTACTGCCCCCATGTTCCTGCTCAACACTCACTGCGACAATCATTATCATTATTATTGCTTTCACTATTTGTATTATTACCACTTCCGTCACTATAATTTTAAATCTCTATGTGGAAATGTTGCATTGTGTGTTCTCTTTCCTCCTGCTACCCACTGCAAAAGCTGCACAAGCCTTTTGTGAATTTGCCCCGAAGTGTGCATGATGATCACAGTATATTAGTAGTGTAAGAAGCATGCTATGATAGTGCACGGGCAATTTACCTCGCTGACCACTGATAGAGCTAATGTCTGGAACGCTGTAGAGGATGGGTTGGAGAGATCTGATGTAAATGTTTGGTCAAGACGAAATTGAAGACCCAGTGTTCCCTCACTGGATGAAGGTGGATTTGTTGATGCAGTGGTGGTTGAAGTAGCTAGTGCAGTAGGGGAAGGGGCTGTTGCACTGGTAACTGTAGTCGTGGCAGCGGTCGGGCCAGCTGTTGCATTAGGCGCTGCAGTTGGAGCCACTGTAATGTTGGGAGCCGCTGTCGGGCCGGCTGTTGCATTAGGCGCTGCAGTTGGAGCCACTGTAATGTTGGGAGCTGCTGTCGGGCCGGCTGTTGCATTAGGCGCTGCAGTTGGAGCCACTGTAATGTTGGGAGCCGCTGTCGGGCCGGCTGTTGCATTAGGAGCTGCAGTTGGAGCCACTGTAATGTTGGGAGCCGCTGTCGGGCCTGCTGTTGCGTTAGGTGCTTCAGTTGGAGCCACTGTAATGTTGGGAGCCGCTGTCGGGCCAGCTGTTGCGTTAGGAGCTGCAGTTGGAGCCACTGTAATGTTGGGAGCCGCTGTCGGGCTGGCTGTTGCGTTAGGAGCTGCAGTTGGAGCCACTGTAATGTTGGGAGCCGCTGTCGGGCCGGCTGTTGCGTTAGGAGCTGCAGTTGGAGCCACTGTAATGTTGGGAGCCGCTGTCGGGCCAGCTGTTGCATTAGGTGCTTCAGTTGGAGCCACTGTAATGTTGGGAGCTGCTGTTGGGACAGCTGTTGCATTAGGAGCTGCAATAGGTCCAGCTGTTGCATTAGGAGCTGCAGTTGGAGCAGCTGTTGGGGCAGCTGTAGCGTTAGTTGCGGCGCTGGAAAAAGCAGCTGTACCAAAGCCAATGGTTTATCGATTAATATACTGTAACATGCATTTAATTTAAATAGATGAGATTAAAAATATGAATACAAAAATTGATTAAGTTTGACTTTTGTGTCTTAAATTACTTACTTATGTTAAAGCTTCCTGGTATAATGTTCAGGGTAGAGTTGCTTGTAAGTGCAGTACTGAGTTGTGCAGTTGCATTGCTTGCTGGAGGAACTGAGTTTGGATCTGTGAACACCATGGTCGAGTCAACAACCACTGATCCACTCCTACAATGGCAAAGAAAGAAAGCAACTCTTTTAAAAGCAAGTGACCAGCAAATGTCAAGAAAAAATAAGTCAGTGATTGAAATTTATTCATACCTGAATGCGTTGATGATGGCGCGTAGGAAAGATAATCCATACAGCCTTTTACCCACATTGTTTAGCTGAAAGACAACATTACAGTGATTTTCAATCCAATGGCTTAAAACAAATTAGTTGTGGTTGGACTGGAGGTAGATAAATCTCAAATGTGGACACGACGGCATATTAGGGCCATTGTAGATAAATAGATAATATGATGGAGCTGCTGGAGGGAGGTCATATTCCAAGACATACAACTCAGAATTTTCGAGGTTAAAGTTATTATTTTAATCACAATAAAACATAAAATAATGTTTTCCAAGTTTTTTCCAGGCACTAATAATACAAGAAAAGAGTCAGTGAATTACAATAACTATTCTAATTTTCTCTTGACTCCCACTGCTCTTTCATTTGTTTCTATTTGCTAGCTGTCTCTCGTTTTTCTATGGCTTACTCTGTAGTGTGCTGGACTGTTACAGTGTGTAAACTCTCTCTCCCTCCCTGTCTCCCTTATCCCCACCTGGTCGAGGCAGATGGCCGCCTACCCTGAGTCTTTAGTCTGTTCACAGTGTCTCTACCTCCTAAATGGTAGTTTTTTCTTGCCTCTGTCACCAAGTGCTTGTTAATGGTAGGAATGGTTGGGGTGTTTTAGATTTGCTCTATATGAAATGTGCAATGATATTACTTTTGTTTTAAATTGGCATTATAGGAATACATTTTTAATTGAACTAAAGTGAACCATTGTCTCCACTTCTCACAGCAGTTTTATGTTGTTTTCAAGTTTAATTCCAAGGTGGTGAATATCAGGTATTGAATTTCTGTGCCCTTACGATATAGCCTTCTATGGTGGATCATTGCTTCACCTGGCTAAAATCACCACTGTCATGATCACAGAAAAGTCTGGGCGCAGCACCCCTATAAATGCTCTGTAGTTATCACCAACTCTTAATATGTAATTTTACTCTCACTGCTGGTGTTTGTGAATTAGTATTTGTTGCAATATATTATCTATTTGTGCTATTTTGTTTTTATTTATAGCTGAGGCTGGTTCAGGTGAGCTCTGAACCTTATCTGAGCTATGCTGCTATTGGCCTAGACTGCCAGGAGACTTCCCTTGATGCACTGAGCTCCCATCTCCTCCCCCTCCATCTGTATGCATTATTTTCCAGTATTGCATGAGCTCTGGAGCTGTGCAGTCTGGATCCAGTATTGCAAGCCACGTACTGCCCCCATGTTCCTGCTCAACACTCACTGCGACAATCATTATCATTATTATTGCTTTCACTATTTGTATTATTACCACTTCCGTCACTATAATTTTAAATCTCTATGTGGAAATGTTGCATTGTGTGTTCTCTTTCCTCCTGCTACCCACTGCAAAAGCTGCACAAGCCTTTTGTGAATTTGCCCCGAAGTGTGCATGATGATCACAGTAAATTATTAGTGTAAGAAGCATGCTATGATAGTGCACGGGCATTTTACCTCGCTGACCACTGTTAGAGCTAATTTCTGGAACGCTGCAGAGGATGGGTTGGAGAGATCTGATGTAAATGTTTGGTCAAGACGAAATTGAAGACCCAGTGTTCCCTCACTGGATGAAGGTGGATTTGTTGATGCAGTGGTGGTTGAAGTAGCTAGTGCAGTAGGGGAAGGGGCTGTTGCACTGGTAACTGTAGTCGTGGCAGCGGTCGGGCCAGCTGTTGCATTAGGCGCTGCAGTTGGAGCCACTGTAATGTTGGGAGCCGCTGTCGGGCCGGCTGTTGCATTAGGCGCTGCAGTTGGAGCCACTGTAATGTTGGGAGCCGCTGTCGGGCCGGCTGTTGCGTTAGGAGCTGCAGTTGGAGCCACTGTAATGTTGGGAGCCGCTGTCGGGCCAGCTGTTGCGTTAGGAGCTGCAGTTGGAGCCACTGTAATGTTGGGAGCCGCTGTCGGGCCGGCTGTTGCGTTAGGAGCTGCAGTTGGAGCCACTGTAATGTTGGGAGCCGCTGTCGGGCCAGCTGTTGCATTAGGAGCTGCAGTTGGAGCCACTGTAATGTTGGGAGCTGCTGTTGGGACAGCTGTTGCATTAGTAGCTGCAATAGGTCCAGCTGTTGCATTAGGAGCTGCAGTTGGAGCAGCTGTTGGGGCAGCTGTAGCGTTAGTTGCGGCGCTGGAAAAAGCAGCTGTACCAAAGCCAATGGTTTATCGATTAATATACTGTAACATGCATTTAATTTAAATAGATGAGATTAAAAATATGAATACAAAAATTGATTAAGTTTGACTTTTGTGTCTTAAATTACTTACTTATGTTAAAGCTTCCTGGTATAATGTTCAGGGTAGAGTTGCTTGTAAGTGCAGTACTGAGTTGTGCAGTTGCATTGCTTGCTGGAGGAACTGAGTTTGGATCTGTGAACACCATGGTCGAGTCAACAACCACTGATCCACTCCTACAATGGCAAAGAAAGAAAGCAACTCTTTTAAAAGCAAGTGACCAGCAAATGTCAAGAAAAAATAAGTCAGTGATTGAAATTTATTCATACCTGAATGCGTTGATGATGGCGCGTAGGAAAGATAATCCATACAGCCTTTTACCCACATTGTTTAGCTGAAAGACAACATTACAGTGATTTTCAATCCAATGGCTTAAAACAAATTAGTTGTGGTTGGACTGGAGGTAGATAAATCTCAAATGTGGACACGACGGCATATTAGGGCCATTGTAGATAAATAGATAATATGATGGAGCTGCTGGAGGGAGGTCATATTCCAAGACATACAACTCAGAATTTTCGAGGTTAAAGTTATTATTTTAATCACAATAAAACATAAAATAATGTTTTCCAAGTTTTTTCCAGGCACTAATAATACAAGAAAAGAGTCAGTGAATTACAATAACTATTCTAATTTTCTCTTGACTCCCACTGCTCTTTCATTTGTTTCTATTTGCTAGCTGTCTCTCGTTTTTCTATGGCTTACTCTGTAGTGTGCTGGACTGTTACAGTGTGTAAACTCTCTCTCCCTCCCTGTCTCCCTTATCCCCACCTGGTCGAGGCAGATGGCCGCCTACCCTGAGTCTTTAGTCTGTTCACAGTGTCTCTACCTCCTAAATGGTAGTTTTTTCTTGCCTCTGTCACCAAGTGCTTGTTAATGGTAGGAATGGTTGGGTGTTTTAGATTTGCTCTATATGAAATGTGCAATGATATTACTTTTGTTTTAAATTGGCATTATAGGAATACATTTTTAATTGAACTAAAGTGAACCATTGTCTCCACTTCTCACAGCAGTTTTATGTTGTTTTCAAGTTTAATTCCATGGTGGTGAATATCAGGTATTGAATTTCTGTGCCCTTACGATATAGCCTTCTATGGTGGATCATTGCTTCACCTGGCTACAATCACCACTGTCATGATCACAGAAAAGTCTGGGCGCAGCACCCCTATAAATGCACTGTAGTTATCACCAACTCTTAATATGTAATTTTACTCTCACTGCTGGTGTTTGTGAATTAGTATTTGTTGCAATATATTATCTATTTGTGCTATTTTGTTTTTATTTATAGCTGAGGCTGGTTCAGGTGAGCTCTGAACCATATCTGAGCTATGCTGCTATTGGCCTAGACTGCCAGGAGACTTCCCTTGATGCACTGAGCTCCCATCTCCTCCCCCTCCATCTGTATGCATTATTTTTCCAGTATTGCATGAGCTCTGGAGCTGTGCAGTCTGGATCCAGTATTGCAAGCCACGTACTGCCCCCATGTTCCTGCTCAACACTCACTGCGACAATCATTATCATTATTATTGCTTTCACTATTTGTATTATTACCACTTCCGTCACTATAATTTTAAATCTCTATGTGGAAATGTTGCATTGTGTGTTCTCTTTCCTCCTGCTACCCACTGCAAAAGCTGCACAAGCCTTTTGTGAATTTGCCCCGAAGTGTGCATGATGATCACAGTATATTAGTAGTGTAAGAAGCATGCTATGATAGTGCACGGGCAATTTACCTCGCTGACCACTGATAGAGCTAATGTCTGGAACGCTGTAGAGGATGGGTTGGAGAGATCTGATGTAAATGTTTGGTCAAGACGAAATTGAAGACCCAGTGTTCCCTCACTGGATGAAGGTGGATTTGTTGATGCAGTGGTGGTTGAAGTAGCTAGTGCAGTAGGGGAAGGGGCTGTTGCACTGGTAACTGTAGTCGTGGCAGCGGTCGGGCCAGCTGTTGCATTAGGCGCTGCAGTTGGAGCCACTGTAATGTTGGGAGCCGCTGTCGGGCCGGCTGTTGCATTAGGCGCTGCAGTTGGAGCCACTGTAATGTTGGGAGCCGCTGTCGGGCCGGCTGTTGCATTAGGCGCTGCAGTTGGAGCCACTGTAATGTTGGGAGCCGCTGTCGGGCCGGCTGTTGCATTAGGCGCTGCAGTTGGAGCCACTGTAATGTTGGGAGCCGCTGTCGGGCCGGCTGTTGCATTAGGAGCTGCAGTTGGAGCCACTGTAATGTTGGGAGCCGCTGTCGGGCCAGCTGTTGCATTAGGAGCTGCAGTTGGAGCCACTGTAATGTTGGGAGCCGCTGTCGGGCCAGCTGTTGCATTAGGTGCTTCAGTTGGAGCCACTGTAATGTTGGGAGCCGCTGTCGGGCCAGCTGTTGCGTTAGGAGCTGCAGTTGGAGCCACTGTAATGTTGGGAGCCGCTGTCGGGCCAGCTGTTGCATTAGGAGCTGCAGTTGGAGCCACTGTAATGTTGGGAGCCGCTGTCGGGCCAGCTGTTGCGTTAGGAGCTGCAGTTGGAGCCACTGTAATGTTGGGAGCCGCTGTCGGGCCAGCTGTTGCGTTAGGAGCTGCAGTTGGAGCCACTGTAATGTTGGGAGCTGCTGTTGGGACAGCTGTTGCATTAGTAGCTGCAATAGGTCCAGCTGTTGCATTAGGAGCTGCAGTTGGAGCAGCTGTTGGGGCAGCTGTAGCGTTAGTTGCAGCGGTGGAAAAAGCAGCTGTACCAAAGCCAATGGTTTATCGATTAATATACTGTAACATGCATTTAATTTAAATAGATGAGATTAAAAATATGAATACAAAAATTGATTAAGTTTGACTTTTGTGTCTTAAATTACTTACTTATGTTAAAGCTTCCTGGTATAATGTTCAGGGTAGAGTTGCTTGTAAGTGCAGTACTGAGTTGTGCAGTTGCATTGCTTGCTGGAGGAACTGAGTTTGGATCTGTGAACACCATGGTCGAGTCAACAACCACTGATCCACTCCTACAATGGCAAAGAAAGAAAGCAACTCTTTTAAAAGCAAGTGACCAGCAAATGTCAAGAAAAAATAAGTCAGTGATTGAAATTTATTCATACCTGAATGCGTTGATGATGGCGCGTAGGAAAGATAATCCATACAGCCTTTTACCCACATTGTTTAGCTGAAAGACAACATTACAGTGATTTTCAATCCAATGGCTTAAACAAATTAGTTGTGGTTGGACTGGAGGTAGATAAATCTCAAATGTGGACATGACGGCATATTAGGGCCATTGTAGATAAATAGATAATATGATGGAGCTGCTGGAGGGAGGTCATATTCCAAGACATACAACTCAGAATTTTCGAGGTTAAAGTTATTATTTTAATCACAATAAAACATAAAATAATGTTTTCCAAGTTTTTTCCAGGCACTAATAATACAAGAAAAGAGTCAGTGAATTACAATAACTATTCTAATTTTCTCTTGACTCCCACTGCTCTTTCATTTGTTTCTATTTGCTAGCTGTCTCTCGTTTTTCTATGGCTTACTCTGTAGTGTGCTGGACTGTTACAGTGTGTAAACTCTCTCTCCCTCCCTGTCTCCCTTATCCCCACCTGGTCGAGGCAGATGGCCGCCTACCCTGAGTCTTTAGTCTGTTCACAGTGTCTCTACCTCCTAAATGGTAGTTTTTTCTTGCCTCTGTCACCAAGTGCTTGTTAATGGTAGGAATGGTTGGGTGTTTTAGATTTGCTCTATATGAAATGTGCAATGATATTACTTTTGTTTTAAATTGGCATTATAGGAATACATTTTTAATTGAACTAAAGTGAACCATTGTCTCCACTTCTCACAGCAGTTTTATGTTGTTTTCAAGTTTAATTCCAAGGTGGTGAATATCAGGTATTGAATTTCTGTGCCCTTACGATATAGCCTACTATGGTGGATCATTGCTTCACCTGGCTAAAATCACCACTGTCATGATCACAGAAAAGTCTGGGCGCAGCACCCCTATAAATGCTCTGTAGTTATCACCAACTCTTAATATGTAATTTTACTCTCACTGCTGGTGTTTGTGAATTAGTATTTGTTGCAATATATTATCTATTTGTGCTATTTTGTTTTTATTTATAGCTGAGGCTGGTTCAGGTGAGCTCTGAACCTTATCTGAGCTATGCTGCTATTGGCCTAGACTGCCAGGAGACTTCCCTTGATGCACTGAGCTCCCATCTCCTCCCCCTCCATCTGTATGCATTATTTTTCCAGTATTGCATGAGCTCTGGAGCTGTGCAGTCTGGATCCAGTATTGCAAGCCACGTACTGCCCCCATGTTCCTGCTCAACACTCACTGCGACAATCATTATCATTATTATTGCTTTCACTATTTGTATTATTACCACTTCCGTCACTATAATTTTAAATCTCTATGTGGAAATGTTGCATTGTGTGTTCTCTTTCCTCCTGCTACCCACTGCAAAAGCTGCACAAGCCTTTTGTGAATTTGCCCCGAAGTGTGCATGATGATCACAGTATATTATTAGTGTAAGAAGCATGCTATGATAGTGCACGGGCAATTTACCTCGCTGACCACTGATAGAGCTAATGTCTGGAACGCTGTAGAGGATGGGTTGGAGAGATCTGATGTAAATGTTTGGTCAAGACGAAATTGAAGACCCAGTGTTCCCTCACTGGATGAAGGTGGATTTGTTGATGCAGTGGTGGTTGAAGTAGCTAGTGCAGTAGGGGAAGGGGCTGTTGCACTGGTAACTGTAGTCGTGGCAGCGGTCGGGCCAGCTGTTGCATTAGGCGCTGCAGTTGGAGCCACTGTAATGTTGGGAGCCGCTGTCGGGCCAGCTGTTGCATTAGGAGCTGCAGTTGGAGCCACTGTAATGTTGGGAGCTGCTGTCGGGCCAGCTGTTGCATTAGGTGCTTCAGTTGGAGCCACTGTAATGTTGGGAGCTGCTGTTGGGACAGCTGTTGCATTAGGAGCTGCAATAGGTCCAGCTGTTGCATTAGGAGCTGCAGTTGGAGCAGCTGTTGGGGCAGCTGTAGCGTTAGTTGCGGCGCTGGAAAAAGCAGCTGTACCAAAGCCAATGGTTTATCGATTAATATACTGTAACATGCATTTAATTTAAATAGATGAGATTAAAAATATGAATACAAAAATTGATTAAGTTTGACTTTTGTGTCTTAAATTACTTACTTATGTTAAAGCTTCCTGGTATAATGTTCAGGGTAGAGTTGCTTGTAAGTGCAGTACTGAGTTGTGCAGTTGCATTGCTTGCTGGAGGAACTGAGTTTGGATCTGTGAACACCATGGTCGAGTCAACAACCACTGATCCACTCCTACAATGGCAAAGAAAGAAAGCAACTCTTTTAAAAGCAAGTGACCAGCAAATGTCAAGAAAAAATAAGTCAGTGATTGAAATTTATTCATACCTGAATGCGTTGATGATGGCGCGTAGGAAAGATAATCCATACAGCCTTTTACCCACATTGTTTAGCTGAAAGACAACATTACAGTGATTTTCAATCCAATGGCTTAAAACAAATTAGTTGTGGTTGGACTGGAGGTAGATAAATCTCAAATGTGGACACGACGGCATATTAGGGCCATTGTAGATAAATAGATAATATGATGGAGCTGCTGGAGGGAGGTCATATTCCAAGACATACAACTCAGAATTTTCGAGGTTAAAGTTATTATTTTAATCACAATAAAACATAAAATAATGTTTTCCAAGTTTTTTCCAGGCACTAATAATACAAGAAAAGAGTCAGTGAATTACAATAACTATTCTAATTTTCTCTTGACTCCCACTGCTCTTTCATTTGTTTCTATTTGCTAGCTGTCTCTCGTTTTTCTATGGCTTACTCTGTAGTGTGCTGGACTGTTACAGTGTGTAAACTCTCTCTCCCTCCCTGTCTCCCTTATCCCCACCTGGTCGAGGCAGATGGCCGCCTACCCTGAGTCTTTAGTCTGTTCACAGTGTCTCTACCTCCTAAATGGTAGTTTTTTCTTGCCTCTGTCACCAAGTGCTTGTTAATGGTGGGAATGGTTGGGGTGTTTTAGATCTGCTCTATATGAAATGTGCAATGATATTACTTTTGTTTTAAATTTGCATTATAGGAATACATTTTAATTGAACTAAAGTGAACCATTGTCTCCACTTCTCACAGCAGTTTTATGTTGTTTTCCAGTTTAATTCCATGGTGGTGAATATCAGGTATTGAATTTCTGTGCCCTTACGATATAGCCTTCTATGGTGGATCATTGCTTCACCTGGCTACAATCACCACTGTCATGATCACAGAAAAGTCTGGGCGCAGCACCCCTATAAATGCACTGTAGTTATCACCAACTCTTAATATGTAATTTTACTCTCACTGCTGGTGTTTGTGAATTAGTATTTGTTGCAATATATTATCTATTTGTGCTATTTTTTATTTATTTATAGCTGGGGCTGGTTCAGGTGAGCTCTGAACCATATCTGAGCTATGCTGCTATTGGCCTAGACTGCCAGGAGACTTCCCTTGATGCACTGAGCTCCCATCTCCTCCCCCTCCATCTGTATGCATTATTTTTCCAGTATTGCATGAGCTCTGGAGCTGTGCAGTCTGGATCCAGTATTGCAAGCCACGTACTGCCCCCATGTTCCTGCTCAACACTCACTGCGACAATCATTATCATTATTATTGCTTTCACTATTTGTATTATTACCACTTCCGTCACTATAATTTTAAATCTCTATGTGGAAATGTTGCATTGTGTGTTCTCTTTCCTCCTGCTACCCACTGCAAAAGCTGCACAAGCCTTTTGTGAATTTGCCCCGAAGTGTGCATGATGATCACAGTAAATTATTAGTGTAAGAAGCATGCTATGATAGTGCACGGGCATTTTACCTCGCTGACCACTGTTAGAGCTAATTTCTGGAACGCTGCAGAGGATGGGTTGGAGAGATCTGATGTAAATGTTTGGTCAAGACGAAACTGAAGACCCAGTGTTCCCTCACTGGATGAAGGTGGATTTGTTGATGCAGTGGTGGTTGAAGTAGCTGGTGCAGTAGGGGAAGGGGCTGTTGCACTGGTAACTGTAGTCGTGGCAGCGGTCGGGCCAGCTGTTGCATTAGGCGCTGCAGTTGGAGCCACTGTAATGTTGGGAGCCGCTGTCGGGCCGGCTGTTGCATTAGGCTCTGCAGTTGGAGCCACTGTAATGTTGGGAGCTGCTGTCGGGCCGGCTGTTGCATTAGGCGCTGCAGTTGGAGCCACTGTAATGTTGGGAGCCGCTGTCGGGCCGGCTGTTGCGTTAGGAGCTGCAGTTGGAGCCACTGTAATGTTGGGAGCCGCTGTCGGGCCAGCTGTTGCGTTAGGAGCTGCAGTTGGAGCCACTGTAATGTTGGGAGCCGCTGTCGGGCCAGCTGTTGCGTTAGGAGCTGCAGTTGGAGCCACTGTAATGTTGGGAGCCGCTGTCGGGCCAGCTGTTGCATTAGGTGCTGCAGTTGGAGCCACTGTAATGTTGGGAGCTGCTGTTGGGACAGCTGTTGCATTAGTAGCTGCAATAGGTCCAGCTGTTGCATTAGGAGCTGCAGTTGGAGCAGCTGTTGGGGCAGCTGTAGCGTTAGTTGCAGCGGTGGAAAAAGCAGCTGTACCAAAGCCAATGGCTTATCGATTAATATACTGTAACATGCATTTAATTTAAATAGATGAGATTAAAAATATGAATACAAAAATTGATTAAGTTTGACTTTTGTGTCTTAAATTACTTACTTATGTTAAAGCTTCCTGGTATAATGTTCAGGGTAGAGTTGCTTGTAAGTGCAGTACTGAGTTGTGCAGTTGCATTGCTTGCTGGAGGAACTGAGTTTGGATCTGTGAACACCATGGTCGAGTCAACAACCACTGATCCACTCCTACAATGGCAAAGAAAGAAAGCAACTCTTTTAAAAGCAAGTGACCAGCAAATGTCAAGAAAAAATAAGTCAGTGATTGAAATTTATTCATACCTGAATGCGTTGATGATGGCGCGTAGGAAAGATAATCCATACAGCCTTTTACCCACATTGTTTAGCTGAAAGACAACATTACAGTGATTTTCAATCCAATGGCTTAAAACAAATTAGTTGTGGTTGGACTGGAGGTAGATAAATCTCAAATGTGGACACGACGGCATATTAGGGCCATTGTAGATAAATAGATAATATGATGGAGCTGCTGGAGGGAGGTCATATTCCAAGACATACAACTCAGAATTTTCGAGGTTAAAGTTATTATTTTAATCACAATAAAACATAAAATAATGTTTTCCAAGTTTTTTCCAGGCACTAATAATACAAGAAAAGAGTCAGTGAATTACAATAACTATTCTAATTTTCTCTTGACTCCCACTGCTCTTTCATTTGTTTCTATTTGCTAGCTGTCTCTCGTTTTTCTATGGCTTACTCTGTAGTGTGCTGGACTGTTACAGTGTGTAAACTCTCTCTCCCTCCCTGTCTCCCTTATCCCCACCTGGTCGAGGCAGATGGCCGCCTACCCTGAGTCTTTAGTCTGTTCACAGTGTCTCTACCTCCTAAATGGTAGTTTTTTCTTGCCTCTGTCACCAAGTGCTTGTTAATGGTAGGAATGGTTGGGTGTTTTAGATTTGCTCTATATGAAATGTGCAATGATATTACTTTTGTTTTAAATTGGCATTATAGGAATACATTTTTAATTGAACTAAAGTGAACCATTGTCTCCACTTCTCACAGCAGTTTTATGTTGTTTTCAAGTTTAATTCCAAGGTGGTGAATATCAGGTATTGAATTTCTGTGCCCTTACGATATAGCCTACTATGGTGGATCATTGCTTCACCTGGCTAAAATCACCACTGTCATGATCACAGAAAAGTCTGGGCGCAGCACCCCTATAAATGCTCTGTAGTTATCACCAACTCTTAATATGTAATTTTACTCTCACTGCTGGTGTTTGTGAATTAGTATTTGTTGCAATATATTATCTATTTGTGCTATTTTGTTTTTATTTATAGCTGAGGCTGGTTCAGGTGAGCTCTGAACCTTATCTGAGCTATGCTGCTATTGGCCTAGACTGCCAGGAGACTTCCCTTGATGCACTGAGCTCCCATCTCCTCCCCCTCCATCTGTATGCATTATTTTTCCAGTATTGCATGAGCTCTGGAGCTGTGCAGTCTGGATCCAGTATTGCAAGCCACGTACTGCCCCCATGTTCCTGCTCAACACTCACTGCGACAATCATTATCATTATTATTGCTTTCACTATTTGTATTATTACCACTTCCGTCACTATAATTTTAAATCTCTATGTGGAAATGTTGCATTGTGTGTTCTCTTTCCTCCTGCTACCCACTGCAAAAGCTGCACAAGCCTTTTGTGAATTTGCCCCGAAGTGTGCATGATGATCACAGTATATTAGTAGTGTAAGAAGCATGCTATGATAGTGCACGGGCAATTTACCTCGCTGACCACTGATAGAGCTAATGTCTGGAACGCTGTAGAGGATGGGTTGGAGAGATCTGATGTAAATGTTTGGTCAAGACGAAATTGAAGACCCAGTGTTCCCTCACTGGATGAAGGTGGATTTGTTGATGCAGTGGTGGTTGAAGTAGCTAGTGCAGTAGGGGAAGGGGCTGTTGCACTGGTAACTGTAGTCGTGGCAGCGGTCGGGCCAGCTGTTGCATTAGGCGCTGCAGTTGGAGCCACTGTAATGTTGGGAGCCGCTGTCGGGCCGGCTGTTGCATTAGGAGCTGCAGTTGGAGCCACTGTAATGTTGGGAGCCGCTGTCGGGCCAGCTGTTGCATTAGGAGCTGCAGTTGGAGCCACTGTAATGTTGGGAGCCGCTGTCGGGCCAGCTGTTGCATTAGGAGCTGCAGTTGGAGCCACTGTAATGTTGGGAGCCGCTGTCGGGCCAGCTGTTGCATTAGGTGCTTCAGTTGGAGCCACTGTAATGTTGGGAGCCGCTGTCGGGCCAGCTGTTGCGTTAGGAGCTGCAGTTGGAGCCACTGTAATGTTGGGAGCCGCTGTCGGGCCAGCTGTTGCGTTAGGAGCTGCAGTTGGAGCCACTGTAATGTTGGGAGCCGCTGTCGGGCCAGCTGTTGCGTTAGGAGCTGCAGTTGGAGCCACTGTAATGTTGGGAGCCGCTGTCGGGCCAGCTGTTGCGTTAGGAGCTGCAGTTGGAGCCACTGTAATGTTGGGAGCCGCTGTCTGGGCAGCTGTTGCATTAGGAGCTGCAGTTGGAGCCACTGTAATGTTGGGAGCTGCTGTTGGGACAGCTGTTGCATTAGGAGCTGCAATAGGTCCAGCTGTTGCATTAGGAGCTGCAGTTGGAGCAGCTGTTGGGGCAGCTGTAGCGTTAGTTGCAGCGGTGGAAAAAGCAGCTGTACCAAAGCCAATGGTTTATCGATTAATATACTGTAACATGCATTTAATTTAAATAGATGAGATTAAAAATATGAATACAAAAATTGATTAAGTTTGACTTTTGTGTCTTAAATTACTTACTTATGTTAAAGCTTCCTGGTATAATGTTCAGGGTAGAGTTGCTTGTAAGTGCAGTACTGAGTTGTGCAGTTGCATTGCTTGCTGGAGGAACTGAGTTTGGATCTGTGAACACCATGGTCGAGTCAACAACCACTGATCCACTCCTACAATGGCAAAGAAAGAAAGCAACTCTTTTAAAAGCAAGTGACCAGCAAATGTCAAGAAAAAATAAGTCAGTGATTGAAATTTATTCATACCTGAATGCGTTGATGATGGCGCGTAGGAAAGATAATCCATACAGCCTTTTACCCACATTGTTTAGCTGAAAGACAACATTACAGTGATTTTCAATCCAATGGCTTAAAACAAATTAGTTGTGGTTGGACTGGAGGTAGATAAATCTCAAATGTGGACACGACAGCATATTAGGGCCATTGTAGATAAATAGATAATATGATGGAGCTGCTGGAGGGAGGTCATATTCCAAGACATACAACTCAGAATTTTCGAGGTTAAAGTTATTATTTTAATCACAATAAAACATAAAATAATGTTTTCCAAGTTTTTTCCAGGCACTAATAATACAAGAAAAGAGTCAGTGAATTACAATAACTATTCTAATTTTCTCTTGACTCCCACTGCTCTTTCATTTGTTTCTATTTGCTAGCTGTCTCTCGTTTTTCTATGGCTTACTCTGTAGTGTGCTGGACTGTTACAGTGTGTAAACTCTCTCTCCCTCCCTGTCTCCCTTATCCCCACCTGGTCGAGGCAGATGGCCGCCTACCCTGAGTCTTTAGTCTGTTCACAGTGTCTCTACCTCCTAAATGGTAGTTTTTTCTTGCCTCTGTCACCAAGTGCTTGTTAATGGTAGGAATGGTTGGGTGTTTTAGATTTGCTCTATATGAAATGTGCAATGATATTACTTTTGTTTTAAATTGGCATTATAGGAATACATTTTTAATTGAACTAAAGTGAACCATTGTCTCCACTTCTCACAGCAGTTTTATGTTGTTTTCAAGTTTAATTCCAAGGTGGTGAATATCAGGTATTGAATTTCTGTGCCCTTACGATATAGCCTACTATGGTGGATCATTGCTTCACCTGGCTAAAATCACCACTGTCATGATCACAGAAAAGTCTGGGCGCAGCACCCCTATAAATGCTCTGTAGTTATCACCAACTCTTAATATGTAATTTTACTCTCACTGCTGGTGTTTGTGAATTAGTATTTGTTGCAATATATTATCTATTTGTGCTATTTTTTATTTATTTATAGCTGGGGCTGGTTCAGGTGAGCTCTGAACCATGTCTGAGCTATGCTGCTATTGGCCTAGACTGCCAGGAGACTTCCCTTGATGCACTGAGCTCCCATCTCCTCCCCCTCCATCTGTATGCATTATTTTTCCTGTATTGCATGAGCTCTGGAGCTGTGCAGTCTGGATCCAGTATTGCAAGCCACGTACTGCCCCCATGTTCCTGCTCAACACTCACTGCGACAATCATTATCATTATTATTGCTTTCACTATTTGTATTATTACCACTTCCGTCACTATAATTTTAAATCTCTATGTGGAAATGTTGCATTGTGTGTTCTCTTTCCTCCTGCTACCCACTGCAAAAGCTGCACAAGCCTTTTGTGAATTTGCCCCGAAGTGTGCATGATGATCATGGTATATTAGTAGTGTAAGAAGCATGCTATGATAGTGCACGGGCAATTTACCTCGCTGACCACTGATAGAGCTAATGTCTGGAACGCTGTAGAGGATGGGTTGGAGAGATCTGATGTAAATGTTTGGTCAAGACGAAATTGAAGACCCAGTGTTCCCTCACTGGATGAAGGTGGATTTGTTGATGCAGTGGTGGTTGAAGTAGCTAGTGCAGTAGGGGAAGGGGCTGTTGCACTGGTAACTGTAGTCATGGTAGCAGTCGGGCCAGCAGGAATTGGAGTGGTAATGTTCGGAGCAGCAGTGGGGACAGCTGTAGCATTAGTGGCAGCTGTTATTGTTGAAGTATATTAAAAGGTATCAAATAGTAAAAGTTTACAATTATGTTTTTTTGCATCATCTACATCAACTGGTAGTTGTGTATTGAGTGTGGGAGATTTTGATTACCTGGTGGTGACGATGGAGTGACTGGTAGCAAGGTTATGTTAAGTGGCAGTGAGGTCGTGTTCACTGGTGGCGATGTTGGGGTGACTGGTAGCGAGGTTGTGTTTACTGGAGCTGGGGTCGTGTCAAGTGGTGCTAAGGTTGTGTTGAGTGGCAGTGAGGTCGTGTTCACTGGTGGCGATGTTGGGGTGACTGGTAGCGAGGTTGTGTTTACTGGCGCTGGGGTCGTGTCAAGTGGTGCTAAGGTTGTGTTGAGTGGCACTGAGGTTGTGTTCACTGGTAGTGAGGTTTGTACCAAGGTGCTGTTCACTGGCGCTGAGGTTGTGTTGAGTGGTGCTGAAGTCGTGTTGAGTGGCATTGAGGTTGTGTCCACTGGTAGCGAGGTTGTGTTCACTGGCGCTGAAGTTGTGTTCTCTTTCATTGAGATTGTGTCCATTGGTACTGAGGTCGTGTTGAGTGGCACTGAGGTTGTGTTCAACAAGGTTGTGTTCCCTGGCTCTGATGTTGTATTGAGTTGCAGTGAGGTTGTGTTCATTGACAGTGAGGGTGTGTTGAGTGGCAGGGAGGTCGTGTTCACTGGTGGCGATGTTGGGGTGACTGGTAGCGAGGTTGTGTTTACTGGAGCTGGGGTCGTGTCAAGTGGTGCTAAGGTTGTGTTGAGTGGCAGTGAGGTCGTGTTCACTGGTGGCGATGTTGGGGTGACTGGTAGCGAGGTTGTGTTTACTGGAGCTGGGGTCGTGTCAAGTGGTGCTAAGGTTGTGTTGAGTGGCAGTGAGGTCGTGTTCACTGGTGGCGATGTTGGGGTGACTGGTAGCGAGGTTGTGTTTACTGGCGCTGGGGTCGTGTCAAGTGGTGCTAAGGTTGTGTTGAGTGGCACTGAGGTTGTGTTCACTGGTAGTGAGGTTTGTACCAAGGTGCTGTTCACTGGCGCTGAGGTTGTGTTGAGTGGTGCTGAAGTCGTGTTGAGTGGCATTGAGGTTGTGTCCACTGGTAGCGAGGTTGTGTTCACTGGCGCTGAAGTTGTGTTCTCTTTCATTGAGATCGTGTCCATTGGTACTGAGGTCGTGTTCAACGAGGTTGTGTTCCCTGGCTCTGAGGTTGTATTGAGTTGCAGTGAGGTTGTGTTCATTGGCAGTGAGGTTGTGTTGAGTGGCAGTGAGGTTGTGTTGAGTGGCAGTGACGTGTCAAGTGGCAGTGAGGTCGTGTTGAGTGGCAGTGAGGTCGTGTCAAGTGGCAGTGAGGTTGTGTTGAGTGGCAGTGAGGTTGTGTTGAGTGGCAGTGACGTGTCAAGTGGCAGTGAGGTCGTGTCCACTGGTAGCGAGGTTGTGTTCACTGGCACTGAGGTTGTGTCCACTGGCACTGAGGTCGTGTTCACTGGTAGCGAGGTTGTGTTCACTGGCGCTGAGGTCGTGTCAAATGGCGGTGAGGTTACGTTGCCTGATGGGGTTGTGTCCACTGCAAATTTTAACAAGAACAATTAGTAACAATAAAAAGTAAATTTTTTCAATACAGCGCATTTTACTTATAACATAGTTATTAGGGCCCGAGCACGAACCGTGCGAGGTCTGTATTGAGACTGTAAGGATTTTTTTGGTTTTCTTTTTTATGCAAAGTACGAAGTTATTATAACTTCAGTGTACATGCTCACATCTGCACCAAACTGTACATGTAGGATGAGAGTCCCACCCTGAACACATGTACATGCCGACATTCACCCACAGTCATAGTGCCACCTGCTGGCAAAAGTAAGGGACCTTAAAAGAAGCAGCCCCCGCCACACGTTTGACCTACATGTATGAAATTTCTGTGGCACATGTATCATGTCCAGACGTACCAAAAAGCCTCTTGGAGCGATGCTCTAAACCCTAGAGGAAGTTGGTCATTTTAAATTTTACGGATATTTTTGGATGATTTACACACTCAGTACTTTAACGAACTCCTCCTAGGGATTTAATCCGATTGACTTCAACTTTCTGCTGTGCCTTCGAAAGGCACTGACGATGAAAATTTGTGCTATCTGTGAGTTTTCGTCAATGGGCGTATCCGTGGCGTGGCGTCAAAGATCAACTCTTCGCCATGACACAGGAAGTTGTTGTAACTTCAGTGTACATGCTCACATCTGAACAAATCTTTACGTGCTTGATAACTCTCCCACCCCGAAGACCTCTACACATCTATACCGATTTATATTCATAGCGGCAAGTGCTATGTAGCTCCACATAGGGGACCCAGGAAGTGACATATAACACCTTCATGCAGTGTCGGAGCCGCGTAGCAAATTCACAGCCGCACCAACAGAGCTCCAGAATATGCAACGCGGCCGGCTCACACCGGGAAGTGCGAGGGCCCGCCCAACGCTGCTTGTAGCTTTAATTAGGGCCCGAGTACGAACCGTGACCTACATGTATGAAATTTCTGTGGCATATGTATCATGTCCAGACGTACCAAAAAGCCTCTTGGAGCGATGCCCTAAACCCTACAGGCAATTTTTGGATGATTTACACACTCCGTACTTTAACAAACTCCTCCTAGGGATTTAGTCTGATCGACTTCAGATTTCTGCCGTGCCTTCTAAAGGCATTGACGATGAAAAGTTGTGCTATCTGTGAGTTTTCGTCAATGGGCGTGTCCATGGCGTCAAAGATCAACTCTTCGCCATGACACAGGAAGTTGTTGTAACTTCATTGTACATGCTCACATCTGCACCAAACTGTACATGTAGGATGAGAGTCCCGCCCTGAACACATGTACATGCCGACATTCACCTACAGTTATAGCGCCACCTGCTGGCAGCAGGAAGTGACCTTTAACGAAGCAGCCCCCGCCGCACGTTTGACCTACATGTATGAAATTTCTGTGGTACATGTATCATGTCTAGACGCACAAAAAAGCCTCTTGGAGCTATTGCCTAAACCCAACAGGAAGTCGGCCATTTTGGATTTGATGATAATTTTTGGCGATTTACACACTCCATACTTTAACAAACTCCTCCTAGGGATTTAGTCCGCCCGACTTCAAATTTCTGCTGTGCCTTCTAAAGGCACTGACGATGAAAAGTTGTGCTATTTGTGAGTTTTTGTTGATGGGCGTGTCCGTGGCGTGGCGTCAAAGATCAACTCTTCGCCATGACACAGGAGGTTGTTGTAACTTCAGTGTACATGCTCACATCTGAACAAAACTTCACATGCTTGATAACTGTTCCACCCCGAAGACATCCACACATATTAATTTATATTCACAGCGCCAAGTGCTATGTAGCGCCAAAAAGGGGACACAGGAAGTGACGTATAACACCTTCATGCAGCGGTCGAAGCGCGTAGCAAATTCACAGCCGCACCGGCAGAGCTCCAGAATATGCAACTCGGCCGGCTCACGCCCCGACGTGCTACACGTGCGAGGGCCTGCCCAACGCTGCTTGCAGCTTTAATTATTTTTATTATTGTTATGAACAAGCTAAGTGATCTATTTTCTTTTTTCAAATAGCTGTTTTATAAAAATATTGGGAAATTGTATCAGATCCTCCTCATCCTAGGTCATCCACATGGGTAATAGTATCATAAGGGGAAAAAGTACAGCTTGGGAGTTTTTTTTACATTTGAATGTGAGAAGAGGAGTGAAATAGTTTAGTTACCAAATGAGTTGTGGGAAATTAATTTACGTACATTTTTAATACCTTTGTTGAAAGTAAACAACAAAGAATTATTTTGTTAACTTTCGATCAATAAACTGAATTGAAAGATCTCCACGAATGTTTTTTTCTTTAGTGGTGAGTCGCAAACCTCCTCCAAAAAGACGACACAAAAAAATAGAAAATGAGTAAGGAGTCGGATTAAACAAGTAACTAAACTACATTAAAGACTCTGAAGAAGCAAACACAGGAAAAGAGAGTCTTCACATCAAGGCAATCACACCAACTAGCTCACATCTGAAGCAGCTGCAGATGGAGGCTCTTTGAGTAAAATCAGCTGATCGCTGCTGCGCAATAAAAAGCGTTTAATTCAAATGATGAAACGCAGCGATCGGATCAGTGACAATTGATTTGCTTAGTTAAAATAAAATAAAATGTACAGAGAAGTGTTAAATGATACCATAAGATGAAACCAATGGCAAGTTAAAGCTTGTGGTGATAAACTTGCAACAGGGATGAACATGCCTGAGACCGCAGCTGAAGGTGAGCGGCTGTTAAAATCACGCATGGACTTGGCGCATGCTGGCACAGAAGGAAAAATAATTCTCCGTCTTTCTTTCGCGGATTGCTTGCGTGTTTGGCTGCAAACTAAACCCTACAAATTGGTGATTGGCGATTTGGTTACAAAAAGTATTGAATGTACTGGTTTGACTGGAGACGTTTCGATACTACAATACTGGGCTGTTTTGGTTGATACCATAAAGTTATCAGGTAGCGATACCCATACCTACTTAATAGTCAAAGATTCCATGATTCGATAGGAGGAGCCTGATTCATTACATTTTACATTTAGCTGACGCTTTTATCCAAAGCGACAATTGCTATTTATGTCAGAGGTTGCACGCCTCTGGAGCAACTAGTGTCTTCCTCAGGGACACACTGGTGGATGAGTCACAGTGGGGATTTGAACCCGAGTCTCAAATCCCCACATGACCACATAAATCTATATGCTACAATGTTAAAAAATGAAGTTAAGTAGTGTCAATATAACATTGCATAAAAAGTACATGAAGTGTTACAGGGACTTTCACACACTAACAAATGAGCTCAGCAATTATTGTCAACAGTTTTTTACCCAGTTGCTTAATAAAAGCATTTCTCCATCGCCATATTAATTTTTTGAAAAGTAATATAAACATTTTAATACTGAAAATGGTTTGGCTTGGACAAAATTGATAAATCCGCCAGCTACACTTTATGACAAGCCAAGAAAGTGAATAATAGGTTGCCTTTGACGCCATGTAAATACAATGTGTAACTGTTGTCTTGAAAGAATGTATGGTAGTTATGTTACCTATTGTATTGTTTCCTTGAGCTGGCAGTGTTCCCACTAGTCCTGTAGGAAAAAAAGTCACAATGATCATATCTGATTCTGTGCATTTCAAGTCATCCACTCTCTCTCTTTCTTACACAGACAGACAGACAGACAGACAGACATATGAAGTTCAACAAATACCTGCTAATAGAAGTAGGAATATGAGTGGGTCCATCATCCCTGTGTCTTATTCCTATAAAATATTGAGAAGTAATTATAAATACATCACATTTATTCATTTACACCCCTGGAGTAACTAGAGGTTAAGTTTCTTGTTCAGGGACACATTGTGTCACAGTGGGGAATTGAACCCAGGCCTCTCACACCATAGGCATGTGTCTTATCCCCTGCGCAATCACCACCCTATTTTAGTATGCAAAACAAATATGCAGACTGATGTCATTCTAATAGATAATCACCTGCCAGTTTATTTTGGTAACTAATGCATTTACATAAAACCACTCTGCTTCAAATCCTACCTTCATGAAGGTAAAATTTTGATTCAACTTCATGGTCAGTTCTGAAGTTGGTAGTGTTGTTGAACTGCATCGCATCATATTGGCATTTTAATATGTAGTTCACCCCATTTATATCAATGAGGTAAGGAATGTGTCTCAGTATAACATGATACAAATCAACCGCACCTGAAAAGACTGAAATTGTCTCCACAAAAACTGAATATGCATGAAAGTACGTTTTACTGCAGGGCTTTTGCATAAAGCTGCTTTATCTATAGGTGTACCATGTGTGTAAGATAAACTGGCAACTAAGGCTATATATAGCAACTCAAATGTAACAGCAGAACAAGATTGCTTTTGACTTTTATGACTTAAAGGTTCAGTGTGTAAGTTGTAGTGACATCTAGTGATGAGGGTTGCGAATTGCCATCCATCCATCCATCGTCAACCGCTTATCCTGCCTACAGAGTCACGGGGGGCTGGAGCCAATCCCAGCTGACATCAGGTGAAAGGCGGAGTACACCCTGGAAAGGTCGAGTTGCGAATTGCATATTTTTTAAGTAGATAAGCATACAAATCTTACCAAAATGCCTTCTTTAATTTTTTTAAATACAACAGAAACACAAAGTAGTACTGACAGCCATAATTTCAGCTTGTGGTAAAACAGTGCAACATTTTTAATGGGCATTTAGCATGTGAAAGTACAAATTACACATTTGTGTGCACAGTGGGGAAGCAATATCCCAAAAAACACATTTTTTAAATGCAAATTCAGAAAGTATTCATTATTGGTCACTTGATAGGCACACGGTCTTGTTATATATCATCATTAGCGGTAAAAAGAAATACATACACCAGGGCAGTAAAATGTGAAGTTTAGCTGCTGATCTGAGCTTCCATGCTGTTACGGTTTTATTGCCAATAATACCTATTCATCATCTGTTTGTCTCAGTAAGGTAAGGGCACATTTCTATCGACTTAACAAAGTCCTAAAAGAGCGCTGGAGAATAACTACATGAATCCAACTACATATTTTTTTCTACCAGCGCAGTAAAAGTTTAGCAGGCTGATGTGAGCTTCAGTGCTGGAAGCTGCCGTTTTATTGCCAATTTCTGATCAGCTGGTTGTCTCAAGAGCTTACCAAAACAGAGCACTGAAGAGAGAGAGTAGCTATATAAACTAATCCAACAACATATTTTTTCTACCAGGGCAGTAATGGTTTAGCTGTCTGATCTGAGCTTCCAGCTGTAAGCTAATGTTTTATTGCCAATTAGTGATTAGCTGATTGTCTCACCAACGTAACAAAACCAGAACAGCACTGGAGAGAGAGTAACTACATGAAATTAATCCAACTAACCTTACATGTTTTTCTACCAGGGCAGTAAAGGTTTAGCTGGCTGATGCTTCTACTCTAAGCTAACTTTACGGTTTTATTGCCAGTTAACGTTACTGATCAGCTGATTCTCTTCGTATAACAAGTTTAAGTTAATAACCTGTCCAGATAAAAACAGACAACCTCAGCACCACTTTGAAAACATCTGTCCCACATTATAGCCTTCCATCTGGGAAAATCTAAAACATCCGTGATTTCTGCCGTCAGCTGTTTGTACCTGTCCAGACTCCTCTGGCTTCATGGTATAAAGATCCACAGGCTGTCGGCTCTCCTACTAAATAACGTGTGTTCTCGTTCTTTTGTCCAAATGTCACTTCTCTTCTTACGTCTAACAAACCAGAAGACTACTCAGAGACTGCCTATTATTATTATTATTATTATTATTCCCTCTTCTTCTTTTATATACATAGAAGATGAAGAGGGAATAATAATAGTATTCAGTGTAGTGAGTGGCGTCTACATTGCCATATAAGGAGGTGCCCACGGTTATTTATATAAAAATAGCTCATTCTAAGGTAATAAAAACATAATGGTTCATTATGTAAGGTCTTTATACACCACTGAAAACATAGTTATGAATATTATGCATATGGATGGCATACAATATTTTGGAAAAACAAGTTGGGGTAAGTTTGTCACATCTGATGAAGTAGTGCCACACCTGTGTTTAAGATTCCAACTGGAGGTGTGTGCTCTGCCTACAAGACAACTCAAGAATTTTGGTCACAATTTATGCACAGCATAATGGTATGATGTGATCCATTCAGATTTACATTTATTTCTCAAAGAAAATTCTTGTGCTACTACTGACCAGCTTAGGAGGCATACGTTTTCAAGTGGGGTTTTTTTGTGTGGATTCAATTCAAATATCTGTCATCTTAATATTTCATTTATGTGAGATATAGGGAAATTGTCAAATTGCACTAATAATTCTTTGACTGACTTGTAAAAGCTAGACTCCATTTTAAGTTTATGTCAGTAGCTAAGCCTGTACGAAATTACACAATACACAAATTGTACGAAATTACACAATACACAAATTTAACACTAGCTACTGCAGTCAGTAAGAACTGAACATCGTTTTCAAATATCATAAAGTTCAAACACCCTACAGCTGTGTGAAACTTGTGCCCAAGATGTGCCCAATTACAACTTTTTTTAGGTGAGGATCGAACTCCTGTCTGGCATCATAAAGTCATGCATTTGAAACTGACTCCCTGCCAATGACAGAAACAATTTGACATTTTGCTCATAAAACGTGGGGTTGACTTAAAAAATAAATTTTGGCAATTTTAGTTAGAGTTTAAGTAGCTGAGTATAAAAATATACATCATGTATCCACACTCAAAACATAAAGGAAGTTTAAGAATATTGGTGAGATTAAGATTTAAATCTCAAATACTAAATCTCTTTCGAGGAAGATGTTGGCATTGTGAGACAGAAAAAGGCTTATGGCTACATTTAGATGCCTATTATGTGCTTATTTTTCAGGTCATGTGACACACTGATGACTCTCCAGAAAGCTGTATAACCCTTCACTTTGGAAGTAAATATCTTCTAAACTAAACATTTTTAGCAAATGCCAGGTACAACTTGGAGAGATCATTATCTTTTCAGTGGTTGCACATATGCCGTAGCAGTAAGCTTGTTAAGCAGGTTGGAAGAAAGTTGAGTCTTGGCTCCCATAGGAACCCATTCATTTTAAAATGCATACAAATATTAACATAAAATATACCATTGCAGATACCAGCAATAAAAGTAATAACATACATTTCATCAAGATGATTTACATATTTAAGTTGAAACAAAGTTTGTAGGACAAACGGAATAGGAGGATAAAAAAGGGCATAGAAAGAAAAAATGAAGAACCAAAGTTGCCCCATTTAAAGCTCTCACATTAATAATTACCAAGAAAACAATCAAGATAAGTAGGAAAATCCAAGGAAATCACTGAGATAAAACATGATTGATTGGATTGTGATGTGGTCTCTGCCACTTCTTATAACAAAATTTTATAAATGTAAAATAAATATACAGTTAAAGGATTATTGATCTGTGAAACAAATGAATCCTGATGCAGTATTGATCTGTCTCAGACATATATGTATCAAACTTTCAGTTTGAGATTCACATGTCTGACAGATATTTGACGTAATTTGTATGAGAATACAATTCCATGCTTTACATATTTGTTTTTATTCTTTTTCATGTAATCAATATTAGTATATATTTATCAAATAAAGAAATATCCTTTGCAAGGCTTAAATTCATTGCAATTCTTATTAGAAAATCTTAGCTGCTACAGCAAAAGAACTTTTGGTCATTATATTCATTATATCCAGCTGTCAGAGTGCAAAGGTGCTCATTCCCTGCCATGTCAATTGCTGCAATATATCAGTGTTAAATAATGTCTGTTTATCCATTATAGCCTTCAGAATAATACAAATTTTATAAAAAGCTTTTATAAATGCTTTGGTGGAATTTACCAAGATGTGGTATAATAGCACAATGGAAATCAAATGTGTGTCTGAGCAAATATCTAAAAAAGTAAGACTCAATAAAAATGTGTGACCTAAAAGCAGAACACATATGAATGGAAATGCATAGATTGCATAAATCATGATTAGAATTTCTTTGATAGCTTTCCCCTAAACCCAAATAGATATCCTTCATTCAAAATCACAGAATTCACGAAAAGAGTATTAAACATTGGGGGAAAATTACAAAATGCGTGGCCTATAAACAGCCTTCTTAAAAGTAAATTAGTAGATATAAAGATGATTAATAATAAAACCTTAAGTTGTATACTGCCATGTCAATATAAGCATTGGATTTCTTACCTCCAACTATGCAGCAATAATATATTCACAGCAATTCTTCAATAAATGGTTCAAACTGACACTGAGAAGGCTTCAGACACCTTGTCTTCTTGAGTCACCAAGTTGAAGTGAAGACATGTCATTGAGTGAGGGTTTTGTTGGTCAAGAAATTCTTGCTTTTTCCAGTGTCGGACTTGCTGGACTTGTTCTTTTATGCATCATTTCCTTGACGGATGGAGTAGGATGATGCAGTTTCACAATGTGTCACAATATAGCTTCTGGTACTGCAAAGAACAAGTATTCTGATTTGCCTGTAATAACTAGGGATGGGTAATTGCTACTTGATACCTTTTATGGTATCGACCGAAAAAGCCCAGTATGGAGTAGAATCGAAACATCTCCAGTCAAACCAGTACTTCAACGTATACTTTTTCTAACCAGATTGTGACAAAAAATTACTATTTGTATGGTTTTGCTTGCAGCCAAACAGGCAACCAACACACCGAAAGAAAGAGAAGAGCAACCTTTTTTCCCATATGTGCCTGGACCATAAACTGTATAAAAAAAGAGCCCCTTCACCTTCGGCTGTGGTCTCAGGCATGTTCGTCCTGTCACCACAAGCTTGGCCTTCTGTTGGTTTCATCTTCTGGTATTTTTGTACACATTGTTCTTTTATGTCACTACCTGTTTTTGAAGCATATCATATAGTGTGGCATTACAACCTACCCCGATATTGGGGTAAGTTGTAACAAGGGAACACAATGCATTTGACATCATTTAAGGTTACTGATTTTGGTACTGGAATGTAAAATTTAAAACGATACCCAACCCTAGTTATAACACACACATTATTGTGTGAAAACAATAACTTCTGATAAACCCGCAAAACTAATCTGCATCATTACAATACATGATCAACTCTTTGACCCAAGAACAAAACCAGTCAGAAAGACTTCTTCATTCTTTTATACACATGATTTTATTATTCCATCTAAGCAATGCCTCTCAGCTGCTGTTTTCATGCCTTTTTCTCTTACCTATTCTTTTCTTTATATAGAAATGTCAGCACCATGCTAATTTGACAACAGAAACAAAAATTTGTTTTGACAGAAAGACACTATGTTCATCTAGCAGAACAATTGCAGCCATGGAATTCAGACTGCTGCTGCCTCACAAAATATTTCAGATATAAGATAAAGCCTCCCCAGGCGTCAGAAGAGTAACAGATTAGATTGTATTAATGCAATGAAGCCCCTGCAGGAAACTACGCTGTCAAAAAATACAAATATTACAAAAATAATTTGACATTTTTACAGTAATTCTGGGTTTTTTTATTGATAGAAAACTCTGTAAAATTACAGATATTACCTGTATATTAACAACCAAATTTCATCCCGATTTCGAATTGTATTTAAATATGAAATAAGGGTGTCTCCGATCAAGTTGGTGACTTTAAGATTATGTCTGTAAAACCCTCACACTAAAGCAAAATGACTTGGCGTACAGGAAACATGTCATTTAGAGCAAACGGCTATTAAAGATTAATACAGTAACAACGTGCTTAGCATAACATGAACACATCTGTTATAGATATATGATATATGGACTAGCTAACATTGTGCTCTAGAAAATAAGCTTTCAAATGATATATGATTAAATATGAAGAGTTTTAAAAAGAGCAGTTGAACTTTCACTTGCAAAACAGAGATTAAATTTAGTTGATCTGCAGTTGATGGACTTTTTTATGAAAGTATGGTAGCAATAGTTGCTAAATAACTTGAAATCTGAAAACCGACAAATTGAAGGAAAATCATAATTTTGGACTGTGGTGTCTTGCCTTAAACATGATAGTAGCAGGGCACATGCAACAGTGCTGGGCTGAACCCAAGGATTCAAGCAAAGCCACAAGAAGGGAGGGGAAATTATTATCAACCAGCTGAACAATGATGCTATGAACAGATCGTGTGTGGAAACAAATAGAGAGCACATTAAAGTAGTAATAGACCTTGTTTTATTCTGTGCAAGACAAGATATCCTGTTGCATGGGCATCGGGAAAATCAAGAGGCATTGAACAGAGGCAACTTCTTGGAATTATTTTAACTGATCTCTAACTATCACCAGAAGTAAAATGGCGACTGGTCAAATTGCAGGAAACTTGCAAGCCCCCAAAAACAGAATGAGATACTTGAAATCGCAGCAATATTTTTCCCGCAAAATTAAGAGATGCATGACGACAGACACATACTGTGTAATTTGGCAGATAAGTGTAAAGAGCTTGAGGCAGCCTGTATCAGACACAGTACATACAGAAAGGCCAGTTGAAGGAAAGGGCTCTGGATGTTGTGGAGACCGGGACATGAATGCATATGCTATATAAGCAAAGATCCTGAAAGTACTTGAACTAGGGCTGCACGATATTGGAAAAAACAATATTTTATCCCCCCGCGATATATATTGCGATATGAAAAAATACAGGACTTTTCACCAGATGACTTAAATAGCAACATCTGGAATGAATTAAGTATCCTAGAATTATTGGGGTGATTTTGTATGGGAAATGTATAGGAATTAAAAAATATATAGGCTGAAAAATGACATTTTACTCTTAAGACTTTTTTTGATTGCACCATCCTTTCTCTTTAATGCAATAAACACATTTTAAACAAAATTATAAAAATAAAAACAAATAGAGCAGCTATACACCAGCCCCCTGAATTGTTTTCAAAAAAACAACTGTTATAATGGTTGAACAAATTAAGCTAAAATTAAACTTATCAACTGTATAAAATCTGGTTTGGTTTTCAGGTAGACATCTTTTCAAATCTCAATGTCAAGACAGAAATGTTGGGGTAGTTGTGGACACTGACCTGAATTTCAACAGCCACGTAAAGGCAATTACAAAATCAACCTACTCTACCTACCCTAATCATTCTGACATCCAGCTGTCACCTTTCGACAGCCATTTGGCCATTTTCATGGTCGTCATGGCCACTGGTGACATTGTATGAACTGATGAGGAAGGCGATGTCTTCTGTTGCCCTAAAGTTCTGTTAATTGTTGACAAGCTCTCAGTGCCTGAAATGCTAAAGTTGTACTGCATTTTTATGAACATGTTGCTCCCGCTCATAAAGATTATTGATTGGGGGACATATTTGATGTCGCTGGTACTTTGTATATATATTTCTAGCTTAACCCTCACATTTATGTACATACAAATATGTACATGTCTTGCCTCTATTTAAAACATATATAGTGAAGATTATGTAATGACATGTAATTATGTTGCAGTTACTATTTGGGTGCCTCTAATTTAATCTTTATTATGTTGTGATTAGTGATGCTTTATATGGTGTTTTCAGAATATCTTTTACAAAATACAGTTTACCTCAATATTAAAAGATACTGTTATTGTATTAAAGGTATCAAAAAAGGAAACAACCTGAGACCCCTGAGAACCGCCCACCCACCTCTCTTCCTCCCTCCTCACACTCACACACACTTGATAAGCATAAATTACAAGCTACAATGTTACCTAATAGCAGACCCATGGTAGTATCCCAACTGACCACTCTGAGTAGGTCAAACATAATTTTCTCAATAACCAGTGAACCAGGAGTCTTGTCACCACTGTTCCTCTCAAATAAAGTATTAAGTAATTCTGTTATCCTAACATGTCACATGCCTTTTTTATTTTTAATTAGCAACTTTTATTGATAACTCTGCAAGAAATCTTGTGTTGCATGTCGATAGTAATGCTACTTGGGATCTCCTGGTGAACATGTCAGTATGTGCTGAATATTGATGTTTTCTTACTCCAATGGAATTCAGCTTCAACACTGCAGCAATACTGAAATAAACAATGTAGCTGTTGTTATTCAATGGCTGTCACAAACTGAGAATACAGGGCACCCACCCATCTTCAGTGAAAATCTTTAAGTGAAAAGCTTATTGTGAGTAGAGTATCTGTTTTTCTACTAACAGGAAATGCCTAAAACACTGTTGTGTGTGTCATGGATATGTCCTTAGGTATGGAATGGCTATTCCAAAATCCCTCACAGGGACAGATTAGGTAAAATTGTGAAGACCTGTGGGACAGTCAGCAGGCTGACCTGTACCACCTGTACCTGACCAGGCTGACTGAGAAAGCAGACGAGGTCTGCATGGATACATCCCATCCACTTTCTTACCCCAAGATCTGAACCAACAGAGGAAAATGGTTGAATGCATGGACTTGGGGATCTCAAATACACGGATACATTGGAAATGTGCAGTACACTCAAAATGTATATTTAATTGTTGGTATACAGTTGTTGACATGCACTTAAATTGTCTGCCCAGTGATGACATTTATGATGGCTGCTACGGATGATCTTAGACTACTGCTTTTGTTTATCTGATGTTTTTTTTTAATATGTCTATATGTTTTGTACTGTACCACAAATTGTCTCTTGGAGGACATTATGGTTTTCAAGGTCTAAGCCTTGGTGTAATTTTTCAAATATGCAAATATTTGGGTTTTATGAAATAGTGATAAGCAGTGATTAAAAGTCAGAAATATGGACAAAAGAGCGAGGACATTCTTGTCCCAGTACTTTTGGGAGGGGCTGTTTATTATGATTTGGTCTTTGGGAAATCTTAATGCTACTGCATACAATTTTGGACAATAGTTCTTTCATCAGTTTGTGTTTGGAATTTTTCCTGTTTTGCCATAATCTGCCTGTATGAAATCAAGACCAGCCATCACAACAGCCATCTGAGGGAAGCTGGACAGACTAATGCATGATAAACATGTTTCATAAATCATGTGCAAATGACACTAAGCTGCTGTAAAGTTACGGCACAAACCTCTGTACGCTTATGACTTAACACACATTCACTGACCGACTCAGAGATGCATTTTTGGTTTTGGTCTTTTCATGGTATTCTTTGACAACGAGAAAACAATAAGAATAACAGCAGCATTACCATTTAACATGTTCCAATATTTAATGCATATACGCATATATATTGTATATATTATATAATGATCATTGTTGTACAGTACTTTACATTCAATATTATTTTACATTATAATATATTACATTGTACCCGCGACCCTGTATGCAGGATAAGCGGTTGACGATGGATGGATGGATGGATGGATATTACATTGTATTGATGAAGCACTCAGAACCATTCTATGTGACTAGTGATCTGCATAGGGCTTTCATAGAAAACAGCTGATAAAGAAAAAGTGTTTATATTGTATATTTTATGGACCGCGTGTGTCCTTAATAAAGCTTATGATTCATACACATAACCAACATTTCATAATACTCTGATAATCAAACGATCATTTTGTATGTGATTATTCTTTGTATGTGATTATTCTTTGTATGTGATTATTCTGTGTAGTCTTTTAATAATTCTTTGACTAATTTATGAGAAACAGACATTTCTGTTAATGTGTGTGTAATGATACAGTTTATCCACAAGTAAGTGCTAAGTCAGTAATACACAAGGAAACAAATGTAAATTAACGTAAATAAAGCCAGATGTTCTGGAGAAACCAGAGGCAGGATCAGTGTCAAAATTATTGTCATAGTTGTGACTGGATTAGGGTTAAGACATCAATGTCTTCCCCCTACCTAACTCTTTCTCCTAAACAGTGATATCAAACTTTAGCTATAGCTAAGTATAAGCCAGTTGGACTAGGTGTCTGTGTAACATTGTTGCTATTGACACTTTTTTGGTTAACTCCCACAGTCACAATGTTATGAGTTTCTTTTTTCTGATAACATCCTTGTTGTGACTGCATTCTTACTGTATCTGAACACACCCATGCCACCCTTACCTATGTGAGTGAACTAGGATGGACAGCAAACTGACACGGAAGAACTAGCTTGGTAGGCCTAACTATGTTCTTCTTAGAATCACTGTTTACATGTGACAATAATTCAACCCTTTTTGGTCATTGGTCTGACATATATATATACACTATAACTGTAGGCTATATATTTACTTCGCTGAATGTTCAATTTCTTTGAAAACAGTCCTTCTGTGTATATAATGCCTATATATATATATATATATATATATATATATATACATACATATATATATAGATAATGCCTAAAAATTGAAAGTGAGGATGCAAACATGGTTTTCACAGAGCAAGTAATTTAATTTGGACTAACTAGATTGATGATTTAAGTGGTTGGCTGCGCTAGTTCTACCAGTATGTAATTGGTCGACAAATTGTTCTGTGTGTGTGCTAATTCTTCCAAATCATCATCATTTCATTTCATTATCATTTGTTTGTGGCTGTTTCAGTTAAATACTTTGCAAAACTTGTCTTAGAAATGATAAATGAATGAAAATAATAAAATCCATTTCAGATATCCCAATTTAATGTTACATGCTGTTCAGCTTCTTACCACAGATTTTGTTCATCAAGTGGAAAGAACAATGTTATAAACAAGGTTGCAGATACTACTTGTGACATTTCATATACTATTAAATATATAAGAATAAAAAATGGCAATAATTAAGACTTAATTGATTTTTAAATACAAATTTGAAGTGTAAAGCCTATCTTTACAGCAAATTTTGTCCCTGGAGTGCGAGGTGTGGCCTAATCTAAAACACCAATTAAATAACTAGTTACATTGGAGAAATGTTGTTATATAGAAAAAACAAATTACCAAGGGACACCCCCAGTAACACAATATGCATAGGCAGAACACAGGTTTTTCACACCCACACAGGTGTCACTTATTCTGTCTTATGCTCTGGTTGAAGTTGGAGTAAGCAGTGTTGGTGAAATACCTGAGTTGCTAACAGTCCACAAAAGAAATAGTAAGTAGTGGTATGTTGTTCTGCTCTTACAGGAACAACATAGACTGAAAGAAATTCAATTAAACAAGGAACATTTCCTTTAAGAAATTCAACAAGGAACATTTCCCTTATAAGATTGTGATTCTCAGACACTAAATCCCCTGCACTGATGATTAAGTACCTCAGTTCTCGACATGGTAAGGAAGTCAAGCGTATTTTTAAGCATTTTAAAATAAATCTTATTTTAACCTTCTGTCCAAAGCATCTACTAAATGATGGAACAGCCTAGACGTGTGGCAAATTAATGTCCACTAATTGGGTTATTGGTGAAATTTCTCTCTCACACACAAATACTCACAGGGGCGGGTCTTCATCAACTTGTGTATCTGGGAGAACAGCACAGTGTAGCTAACTATCACATAATGACTCTAAACAGTACAATCTAATAACAATATACACATTAGCCAACAACAGCTTACTCTGGGCAAGTCTGGGGCATCTTAAACTAATTCTTATTATATGGGACAGGTGGCAACCATATAAACCAAAGTATCATACATTAAAGATTTGAAGTGGAGATGGTACTAGGTACCAAAGTTATTTCAATTTATACTGAGGGTATGAATGTCTCTAAGCACAGATCACTTTCTGTGTCTACCTTATGTTTCTTCAGGGTGCTATTTTACCTTTTACTAGCAGTTGCATAACTAAAGAATTACTGTAAAGGAATGTCTACAGTGAAGAAGCATTTCAGGAAGATCATGAGTGGCATTCTTCATATGGCACCCCTCCTTAATGCTCTGGTTGACATTCCTCACACACTAATAACAGCATATGGGAAGAGCATGATCAGAACTGAACAGCCCATCAGCTTTCACAGAGCTAATGCTCATATGTCAACACAAATGTCAAATATTTCGGCCACAAAACTATCTGATATCCAGCGATTGATTAGCTTTTCATTTACATTATTACAATCAACCATTTTTTTTAACTAAAAATACTAAGCTTTGTTGTATCGTCACAGCAACAGTGTAGTTCCACCGACTTTCAATCACAACTTGCTTTCGAATACACAAATCAATACATAAATACAAAAAGTGAAAAGAATGTTTATTAAGACAATACCTAAAAATTGAATGTATATCCATGAAAAAATATAAACAAGCCACAATTATTCAAAAAGATGTATCACACTCGCTAACTTCTCAGCTGTCACATAAAAAGCATACCATAACCCAAACGCATTACAAATAAGCTTGTGTTTGCTTACAATGCTGATGGGAAATCCTAGCATCAGTCTGGTTGGATGAGCTTGTAGCTCTAACGAGGTTGAAAGCCCCGATGTAGCCCTCCCCTACCCCTGAACCCTCCCCTGTCCCCACGGAAATTTGGTCGGTTTCTTTCACGGCCTCTGTCTCCGCCTCTTCCTGCATTTGGACCACCACGTCCCCCTCTGGGTGCTCCGCCACCACGGTCTGACTTCAGCTTGGCAGGGGGAGATTTGGGCCTCAGCCTCTCTATTTCCTCGGTGCAGCCAGATAGGTGGGAGTTAGGCAAGGAAAAATGCGAGGCATATGTCTCTGGGTTAAAGTTACTGTTTGTCAAAGTAGGACCCACTGTTAGCCAGCCTAGAAAGAGAACAAAAAAACATGTGTTGAGAAACAAGCAGATCCACAGGGGAAGACAAGACACTAAAAAACTAAAAGCAAAGATACAACCTGCAGTTGTCAGCTAAATTTCCCAAAGAAAGAGCAGGTCCATCTCACCTGGTCTGATAGTAGAGTCTCGTCCAAACAGGTGCAACCTCCTGCGACCCAAGCAGAAATGCTCAATGATGTGGAAGATCTCCACAGGCTTCTCTACATTTCCCATCTCAGGCTCCTCAGTAATGATCAAGTCAATATCCACATTGGCATGGATGAAGTCACCATCAGTACTCCTACGCACTGTTCCTTTGATTCCCATTAGGCAGTGTTCCTGCAGAGAATGTGTTGTATATATCAGTGTTTCCCACATAATGAGGGCGAATGACTGTTTGTGGTAATCTTTTTTTTGTAGTTTATTTTACCATTTTTACCATTTTAATTCCACTTCATTCTGCACCTTATTTGAGTGTTAACTCACTACTTGAATCGGCTCACCTTGCTTTCCCTTTTAGTTCTCTTTTCCCCACAAACACAATCTGGTCTGTTATTCTAAACACGGTGGCTTGCCCCGCCTCTTTATGTTTCTCTCTCCATCAGAAGTGCATTTTATAAAGTTGCTGAAAAGACACAGAACTGGCCCTGTGAGTTTTTACAGCAGCAGGTGCATCGCATGTGGAGGAGGCTTGTGAATGACGTAGCCAATCAAAATGATCGAAACCAAAGTGGTACAGAAGCACATTTGCACTGGTGTGTTTACTCTTCACTGCTGGTTTATCTGGTCCGTGCTTCTAAAATATCCACCGTGTCCGCGTTTTGTAACATAATACATAGGACTGGGTATTGGTACTCCGTTCCTTTAAGGTATCGCCTGAAATAGCCCAGTCCCAGCAGCACATTAGCTTATTTTACTCAGAGAGCATCTGGCTACTTTTATCAGATGTAGTCGGTTTGATTGGCTGGATGTGCAGGCTTTCTTTTCCATTGCTTGCTTCTTTAGAGTCTTCAGTGTAGTTTTGTGACTTGTTTAAACAGACTCCTTAATCGTTTTCTACATCTTCCCATTCAAAAGCACTCACAGAGATCTTTCAATTCTTTCAAGATTTATTCATCCAAAGTTCAACATATGTATCAAAAACTTAACTTAAAATCCCTTTCAACTACTCAGTGATCTATTTCACTCCTCCTCTCATTCTCTTATTCAAATACAAAAAAAAAAAAAAAAAACTCCTGTTATCCTTTCTCTGTGCATATGACCTAATATGGTTTACATATTCTGTATACTGTACCTTGGTCCTCTGGAAAACTGCTTTTGGATCCAGTGCCTTGGTCTTGCCGGGGTTATTCTTGTTGGTCTTGATCCAACAGATATCCTCACACCGCCTGAAGCCCCACTTCCTTAAACACTGGAATGGGTAAAATAAGTTTAGGTATTATGATGTTGTTTGAACTGCATGTGCTATGCAAGTATTCAATTTAGGGCTGTTAATATTGACAGGTATATATTCCGTATTACTCTGAGAGAGACCCTACTCATCTATTGTATTTGATTTAATGACACTTGCGCTTGTGACACCCAAAGAATGGACAAACAATAAGAAACACCTTGTCAATATTGCAGTATAAACACCTCCTCTGGTAAAGGCTGCAAAATCATGCTTTTTTTTTTTTTTAAAACACAGAGAGTGTTATTGATAAGCTATAGGAGGACAAACGTCACACTAACCGCAGACACCCAAACAACAAAGGAAAAGATGTTTATCTGACAACTTGCCGGACTTGGACAATACAGACGGTTTAAACTTTGAATAGTCCAGGATTTAACAGATGTAATTCAAAAGGAATTCAAAGCTATTGTCCTGCTATTCTAACATTACATAAACATTAACTTAACACAGTTGTCAGGTGCACACTGAAGCAGAATGTTCCTGAATAAGTCAACAAATGCAGTGTGGTGTAACCAGTACTTAAAATAAGCATTTAAGGATGTTAACAGTGACTGTGTGTGTGTTAAGATGCACAGCGACGCAGAAATGGAAGATTCATCAGGTACAGCTCTGTCCTGTACACATACTGTACATCCTGATAGTTAAATTATATTCCAATTTTCAGATGAGTCTGAAAAACTTGTTGTTAATTAAAGGATGGAGGTGACAATGGAGGAGCTGAGGTTAGTAAAGTAAGTTAGGGATGCAAACTCGCTTTAAGTTAATGAGTAGGTGTTTCTGTTGGATTGTAATGAGCAAATGAAATGCTTAGTAATTATCACAAAATCCTGTATAGAAAAAAAAGATACATCAATAACCGTTTTATAATTGCATAGCAGCCCTCTGAATCGTAATCAAATTAAATGTTGAGGTGCTTAGAGATTTACACATCTACCTGTTTTTCTAAAAAGGATTAAGGCTTGCATACCAATCTACTGTATAGCACATCACATAGCAAATCATATCAATAACTCAATTACAAGCTCCAGTATGTCAGAGAAACAATTTTCTGAACTGCCGAAAAGGTCACAACCTACTTTGTGGTTCTGAAAGCAGATGCCAATGATTCTTTCCATTTTACATTTTTCCATTTCTGAGTTATCTGCACAATCTGCAGTTTGGTTAGTTACTTGTTCTGTTTGTAGTTGCTATGCTATTTGAGATAACACAGGATAGTTGTGATGCCACTGTAGAAAGACAACATCAGTCTTTCCTTTCTAAAAGTTTGTACACACTTTTGGTGCTTTTGATAATGGCACAAGCAAAACATTAAAATTAGTTAGACAGACTTTTTATATTAGTCCAAAATTATTTTAGAAACCTGGAAGTCGCATGTCTTCTCTCTACTTGCTCAGATGAAGTTGACATCAGTTTGCCTTGATATAAATTTGAATGTTTGGTTTGATGGCAATTGCCCTTATGATCCCCAAAGAACACACAGTCAATGACAAAAACCTTGTTCACAATCTCAACATGAATCATAAAGTTGTTGGGGGAAAAAAAGCATTCAGTATAAACATACTTAGACTTGTAAGACTATGATAAAAAGTATTTTCTCACACAGAGAGCCAGGCTGTGAATCTGTGTAACTGACAAGCTCTACGAAGACAAATGTCACACCTATGACAGACAACCATATAACAAAGACAAAATTGACAGGTTGATAAACATGAACCAGAGTGACTGCAGAGGGACTTAAACCTTGAATAGTCTGGTATGAACAGAAAAAACTTTAAAAAGGTATTGTCATAACATTATAGACACAGTTACCTAGCTCAGTTGGCATAAGCCCACTGAATCAACAAATGCCTTAACGACTCAAAGAATGTGGACTAACAAGGGGTAAAAATATCCTTCTTAAACCAGTAAAGTAAGATCCATTTTGGACTCCAGAGTTTGCCTGTTATATTAATGTATGTTTTTTTATTTAAAGAATGATCATGTTACCATTCTGCCCAAGTCCAGGCCTTCACCAGAGCCACACCAGAGAAAGACAAAGGAACGGAGAGCTGATATCTCCTCAATTTCCAGTTTCATGATCTAAAATAGCAGAGAGCAGTGCAGAGAAAAAGTGAGTGAGTGAACATGATACTAAGCATGACCCATGCACAGTAAATATACCATTCACAAATCTTGCTTCCTTTCCATTAGGCCAAGTCCTTAGGCGGTTGTGTGTTATGGGAGAATCGGACAGTTGATTTTGCCATCCCAAATGGGTCTTCACATTAGCAGGTCATTAATAGGGTCACCAGTCTGAAGCTCTTAACATTTTGGGATGTCCATATCAATCTCAGAAATACCCAATATTTTTGTTAGAAGTCTTCCAGTGTGACCACTTAGAAACATTTTAACGATCAGAACTTGGGCACAAGTCGAGTCTGAAATTATGCTGAGTAATGTGCGATATTCTCCCATGAAACAATTTCTAGTGTTCTTTATTTCACAAATATTGTGATGGCACTAGCGCCTAGGGATGGGGATCGATACCTGGTTCTAAAAGGACCCGGTTCCAAAATTTCTCAAAACCCGAAAATCTGATCTAAGCTCATCGATACTTCTGTCGAGACTAGCGAATCCTATAATGTAACGTTATTTCTTGAGTATCAAATCTGATTTAACTTGAAACGCGATAAATAAGAAAACTAATGTTATTTAGTGATGGCATCGAAACGCTGTATCAAATGGGCCCTGGACTGTTTATCATCAGTCTGCAGCCTCTGCCTGCTATCTGTCAACTCCTATGTACATACACACCGCGGCCAGCAGAGAGAGACGCCAAAGTTAAGTTAGCTCCAAACTACTCAAGTTGCCGACAGCTATGCTCGTTACTCGAAGTACGTGCAATAAAACTTTTGCGAGTAAAAAGACAATACTTTATCAATACACCTGTGTGTACAGTAAACGTGGAAATATCTCTGTCCTCAGTCTCTCATCCTGTATGTTTTATACAAGCACAGCTAACGTTAGATTGGCATTAGCCAAATGTTAAAAAACAAGCTAAATAGAAAGCTTTCTGTCTGGAGCAGAGACTGATCTGTAGTCTTAAAATTTGGCACATTGTTGTAAACTCAGCTGCTGGCTGAGACAGACCAGCCGCTCCTCCTTCCCTCAGGTAATGTTATCTGTAGGCAGTGAATAACAGAAGAGAGGAGGAGGAGAGACTGATGAAGTTTTTATTCTTTCTAAATGTCACTTACTATTGTGATGTCAGCTATTGAGTTTATATATAATGACTTTGCTGTTGTAAACATTAATGTTACTGCGCTGGTAACATTTAGTTGTATTTAAAATATTAAAGTCTAATGGTAGAATTGATTTAAAAACAACCAGGCAGTTAATATGCACACTTCAATATTTGTTTATTTTTCGCAAGTCATGTGTCATCTCATTATATAACCTCATTTTATTTCCCTCATACAGTGCAGGCCCACCTCATGCCCGCTGGGTCTGGTCTTACCAAATAACCGTCACCAAATAATAGTAAAGTATCGATATAGAATCGTACCGTTAAGCAGTCTCTATAAGGGTATCAATATCAATAAAAATTAACAATCCACATCCTTACTAGCGCCCTTTGTGTTGGTCCTGTGGTATGTGTTTGTGTCTGATTGTTACAGATTCTTAGCCTGGAGCAGCTGAGGGAGCCGTCACTGTAAGACAGGGATGGCCAAACCTTTGATTTTGGCCGATATACAGAAAAAAATAACCAGAGGAAAATGTTTCTATCGACTAGCAATTTGTCACTGTAGGTCAAGTAGTTGTTGACCAATGACAGCGACATCTACTGTTCTACTGCATCTACATCTACTAACTAGGATGTGCAACGTATATACAGAAAATGTGGGCCATAGTTTGGCCAACCTTGTTGTTAAAAGGTCATTAAGCTCTGTTTATTTTGAGGTGTCCTTTTCACAGTGTATTGATATCTCTTCAAAGACCACTGATAAGGACTTCCACGCCACACATTTATCAATATAACTCATTGTAATATATTTCTGTTTCTGACTGTAAAGTTTGGCGTGCGCCTCCTTTCTATTGTTGTGGCCTACGAGGTGTTCATAACATTTTACATTTCTTTACATGCTGGCGCAACTCAAACATGAATACGTACATCATCCCAGGTCCAGAAACGTTCAGTGTGGCTGATGCCTGACTCTCTGTAGTATTCCTCTAAGGGAGGCTCAAGCAGAATTACATCAAACTTGCACTTCAAATCCTGCAGGTCAAAGTGCTCTGGGTCAGCCTGGAGGTACCTAATCACACGGACACACGCATCTCAAATAGAGCCTTCTATTGGCTGTTTTTTCCAGCTGTTTTCTCTGCAATCACATCACAATCAAAAACATATTTAACGCAACTCTTCGCGTCATCATTTAACATACATGGGAGGGGTGTTGGTGGTGGAGATGAGTTCATCTTTCAATCTGATCAGCTCTCGAAGTTTAGGGTATTCTTCAAATCGGTCAGCCAAGCCTGAATTCACAGAAGACGACAAGGTCAGAACTACATACAAGCATGCACAACGTGTACATCACACACACACACACACACACACACACACACACACTCACCAACATCTCTTATGAAGTTCTGTGGTCTGTGCCCAGTGTCAACAAAGTGCTGACAGTAGTCATTGTGAGGGTTCAAACTTTGGGTGCCCTGAAAATGAATGAATGGAATAAGATGAAAAGGATGAGCAGAAGAAAAATATATGCATACGACAACATACAGTATGTATGAATAGCTGGATGTCTGTTCAAACTTTTTAATACACATTTGATGTATGAAATTGGAAGAGCTCAATAGAAACTGTAGGTTCCAAAACAATTTCTGCAGAATCTTAAAATCCATTGTGGACTTGTATGAGGAAGAAAGACTTTCTAAATAAAGATGACACACCACTAACGCAGGACAATCACATGATGCACACCTGACAATGACACAGGAAAATATTTATCTGGCTCTTTCAATTTAGGTTTTTTCCTTGTTGTACGTGTGGGTAAATCTAGACTTTTGACAGCACCAAATCAGATATTCACTGAGTTGGAATTTAACTCAAGAAATGTTTCTTCAAAAGTAGCCTCTGCAGGTAATACTGGTAACACCAGTCACAGGTTAAATAGGAACCGTTGACATATAGAGTAATGTTTGATGTGGCTATGTCTTATTCTCTTGCTATTTTTCACTAATATAGTGTCAAAAGTGAGACTTACGCAAACATATTTAAAAGATGAACAACCTGTACCAATGGACCAATTACAGATGCACGATTATGGCTAAAAGGATCACAGTTACTTATTATTATCTGAACATGACATAAACTGCACAGTACTACTAGACCTTTTAATTAAACCATCTTCAAATATACAAATCTTAATAATACACTCAGTCCTCACATTAAATCATGAAGGCGAGCTAAAATTTGAGCTAAAAGCATTTTCAAGCTCATTCCAGTCAATTCCAGCCTGTGTTGCCAGGCAGCCTAACCTTATCTGAACACCTGTGAGATTTTAGGCTCAGTGTATGAATGCGTATGACTGGTGAATGCAGATGTAGTGTAAAAGTGCTTTGAGTGGTCGAAAAGACTATAAAGGCGCTATACAAATACAGAGCATTTTATCAAGCTCTTGCTACTCTCCTACAAATGTTTGTTATTTTGTAGATTGTTTATAAGGCTGACATGGCTAACAACTGGTAAAATTGCCTAGGAAACCAGTTTGTTTATTACAACTAAGCAATGAAAACATGCCTAATTTGCTTTGTAATTAGTGGAACTTTAAAAAAAATAAAAATAAAAATAAATCTCTCACTTGACAGGCTATAAAAACATCATTATTGAGACAAGATCTAATAGATACAAAAGACGGGTGTAAAAGAAAGACACAGCAAGTTGTCCAACCTTTAGGAAAGTACTTGAATCCTTGTACACTTCCTCATATGGGTTGCTTTCATCCGGCTGCTGCACCTCCACTTCATCCTAACACACATAGCGCAAAAACACAGGGGGTCAAATTTTGGTCAATGAAGAGAAACTTTATCTGCAAAGCACTGACTACTGGCCAGTCAGTTCTATTGGAAAATGGCATCACCATTCATAGAAGATGCAGAGATGCTTTTGAATACTGATCATCCCACCACAGAGAGTGACTGAAGGACAAAAGCCTTGTACTTGTTGTACTTTTAAGATATGACAGTAAGCCTAATTACCGCTTTGAAATGTTTTTAAATTTATATATTTATTTTACTCCCGAGTCCATTTGATATTGCCTGTCACAGCCGTTAAATGCTGTTTTCTTTTTATGTTAGGCTAACTATTATGAGCCTATACATTGGTGTTCAAGTTAAGTTTAATTTGAATTTGTGTATTAAAACTTTATGTTGCATTTGTTTCTTATATTGTACAGAGGCTGGCTATGTTAAAACGCAGACACAGAGCCAAGCTGAAAGAGAGACTACATCTAAGCAACACATTAATTTAATGGAACACAAGTATAATAATAGTCAGGTCTACTCTCTAATGATGAGCAGTGATATTACAAGACTAACTTGGACATTCGCACAGTTCTGATTTTCTGCGAGATGCCTTTCCTGCATGTGGCAGTTGCAACTGTGTTGCTTTTAGTTTGAATCATGTGTTTAACTTCTTTGTATTTGTGTAATACCATACTTTGTAAAATATGCTGCTCTCAAGCCAGTAGACTTGTCCATGTTTGTGATTAGTCATCTGCTGCACCCTCTTATGTGAAGTCATATATGGCAGGATTGGGAAACACCGGGTTGACTTACTGACGTGATAACCAGCTTTGTGTAACTTAAGCCTGATCGCGATGGTTAAGATAACGAAAAGATATCCTGGGTATGTTGACCTTGCTTAGTAGGACAGGCCCAAGGTGGGAACACACACCTTTGTTTGTACTCTGCCATGAGGCTCTGGAACAATCTGCCTGAGCAGACGCAGTTCAGTCGGCTCATCTTTTAAAAAACTCCCCCATACATACTCAATGGCTTGTCCTGATTTTAGTCGTTTGCTCTCATTCTATCCATTTAATTTGCTCTTTTTTTATTCTGCTTTTGTTGTCTCCTTATGAGTTCTTCTTGTATTTTGATTTTATTGTAAGTTTTCATTTTGTAAACTTATTTTTAAGTGCTACATAAATAGGGTTTATAATCATTATATACACAATAGGATGGAGCCTTCTTTAACCCATGTAGATTCAAAAGGCTCCCTAATACGTGACTACTCTCACCTTTTGCTCTTCCACATCTTCCTCTGTCTCCTCTCCCTCTGTCTGTGCCTTCCTTTTGGAAGGCGTGGCTGAACTATCAAATGAAGCCCTGCAAAACAGAAACATCCGAAATACATTCCCAGATTCGCTGTCTCACTAAAGCACAAAATCAACATGTTGGCACTGATGAATGCAAAACAAACTGGCAAGCAAGGTGGACATATGTTTCCAAATATATGTTAAAAGGAGGGGAGCTGTGGAAAAGCGAGAGAATGCATTATGTTCAATATGTGCACAAACACAGGGACTACGTGGCACAAAGAACTCAAAAAAGGCTTGAAGAGGAAGCTACAATGGATTGCAAGCCTGGCACTCAGCCTTTTTCTGTTTTTCATGCCACCAAGTCATGTCAAATTTTTCTGCTTTAAGTTGCACCTTCCTTGTGTCTCATTACTGACCTGATGGGCTACTAATTTTTGAGGATTAAGTGACATCTTACCTGCATATTTCCCTTGTCTCTTCTATCTCTTTTAGTTCATCCTTACTGTTTAGGACAGCTCCGATGCTGTCTGCACTTTCAGCTCCCAACTGTTACACAAGTATAAGAAAGTAAGTGCAAGGTTAGCAGTCACATTGTTTTATTATCACAATCTGGTATTTTCCCCTTTATTATATAATGAATACCCTACGTATTTATTTACTTAATTCCATACAGCGTATATATTGTCCGTCTCAGTGTTTTGTACTGCTGTTATGTAGCTACATCTTTTACATACAGCTTACAGTAATTAAATATTGGTATATCTTCCATTCATATGTATCATAACTGACTGTGTCGTGCAGCGATGGCATTTGTGTTAACTTAGCTATATTGGCTCAAATAGCTTCAACGCGTCGTTCATTGAGGTTAGGTTACATCAGTAGAGTTACATCAATATGGATGTAGAGCGGACCTAAAGATTGATTTAGTGGCATAAACAAATGTGCTTTGATGCTACCAAGGATATTTTGCTAACCTCAATCTTTTGTGTTTTTCAATCGCACGTATTATTAATGATTGATTAAAATGAAATCCACTTTTTCTTGGGTGCTGGGCAAACCTTTTTTCAGCTTCTGAAGGGGGCATGACAGAAAAAGTTTGAGAACCACGGACTTACATTTAACGTTACTGTAAAGTTATCACCACTGATGTAATGTTCGGCGGAGTTATGTCAGCTAAGTTATCACCCATACCGTTAGATGTATTTGTGCTATTGCGCTCCGCCCTTGTTCTCCGCGCAGCAGAAAATGCGTTTCCCACGCAACATCAACAGTTTTGTCAGAGACATCGCTAGCTTACTTGTTAGATTAGCTTACTTGCTAGCAACAACAGCGGAATAACTGTCCACTTGCCTGTTGAGCTAAAAGCTGCCGCCTAAGCTTTTGTCGCTCGCGGATCTCTTGCAGTCGACTGTTCATTCCTTCCCTTGTAATATTTTCGGATTAATTACGAAATAATTAAGGTCGTTGTCATACCGACGCCTTTCAAATAAATGTGACTAGCTAGTTGTAACATTAGCCAACAAGCGGCTAATGTTTAATAGCCGCTAAAAAAATCACAATAGGTGTACTCGTTATATAAACCGGGACGCTCGGTGTTTTCACGGTCTTGACATGTGCGCTGCTCAAAAACGTGTTAAAGACACCCTGTTACGACTGCTTAATGGCTGCTGTTATTTTTGTATACTAAGGCGGTTTTTGAATTCGCAGCGGTATTAGCAGCCTGGTTAGAGAGGGTCAAGCGGCGAACAGAGCCGACTCCGCCTGTCTAGGCGAGGTTCGGCGTACTCTGGTGTAAATCAAGAGTCAACAGTTTTTTTCTGAACAGACGCCGTTTAATGACGTCACTAGATGGACGCATTTGTTCATCCAATCAGAGAATACTATATTGGAGACGGTGAAGGCGAAGTGTAATTTATGCCGCGTTCGAGACCGGTCGAAACTGGGAAACTGACCATGATAAAGTCTTTGTCAAGTGTACACCCAGTTGCACCCTCTGTCCTGGGTGTTAATTAGGGACGTTTTAATGAAAACAATGAACTGAAGTGGTAATCCTCAAAAGACAATAAACGTTGTAGATTAGCCTATACTTCGTAAAATTTTCAAATGTTTTGGCATTTTCAACATTTTCCTGAATAACTTTTGGGTAGAGAAGATGACTTTCAGAGATTGTTTATGGTAACGAGCTACCTAATAACAGTGACAAAACATTTCTACATCAATTTACATGCAGAACAAGTTTTACTATTTGATACTAGTATGTATATATGTATCAAGTGGCGTTCCAGGATAGTTTTTCTAGTTGGAGGTCGGAAATATCCCAGTTCCGAGTTGCCTGGAACGCAGCATTAGTCCATCTGCGTTTCAGTTGTTCTCTCTCTCTCTCTCTCTCACACACACACACACACACACACACACAGGAGAGAGACGAAAGAGCGAGTGCATTCAAGTTTAATCATTCATCATCCGCAACCGTAGCGTCACATTTCTCATGCTTCACTGATGTGCCTCCAAAAGAAAAACCTTTACCATCTTAAGAGATAATAGCTACATTTAGCCTACTTATTTAGCAGACGCTCATCCAAAGTCACTTACTTACATTTGAGGAATAACATAGGCCTACTTAAGCATCAGTAAAGTAAGAGATCTCGATAATAGGAAACAGCTTTTTATTCGCATAGGGTAGGCTATGTAATAATGGATCCACGTGATGAAAGAATAGAAAGGTTGAATATAGTGTTTAGGACATCGCATAAAATTACTATCAGCATCAGAACTCATTAGGCTTAAACAAACTTAACTTTTGATAAAACCCAATAGGCAAAGCCTAATCAAATAAGCATTTTGGTCATAGCCAAGTTGTCTCAACAATACGCAATTTCAAGTTTTGGGACCCCTAAAGTGGATAAGGCCCAGTGTTCTGGGATTTTATATAGCCTATCGGTTGGGTTCCCCTGTAGGCCTATGCCTGCTCCCTGTAAATCTGCTCTAAATACAACATAAATACTGTAATTCTATAGGCCTATCGGATGATATAGCCCAATACAATTTAATGGTAGCCTATTAAGTAGCAACATGGGGAAAAGTTTCTCCGAACATTCATGTTATTGAATTTTCGTTGGGGGGCTGCCTGCCCATTAGCCCACGCAAATAGGAGTTTCATTGATCCGCATCGTTTTTCCTTTCCCGGTTCTCACTCTCGTCCCACGGCAGGGCGATGAGGCTGACTGAACACCGTCTCCTCGGCTGATGAAAGAAGCTGCTGATGATAGACGCACTGTCTTCAGCTGCCTACCTACAACCAGAGACCTAACATGAATTTGACATTTCTCGCTGTTACAGCCGCGCTTTTGGCTGCGAATAGCGGCTTCTGTGATTCCAGCAGCGTCCCTTTATTCATCCTGCCGTTCACTGACTGCGTCCAGAGCCGTGGGAAAGACGGCTTCTACCGGGGAGCGATAGACGTCACCGAGTCCGGGACCCGTTGCATGAACTGGACCGAAGTGGCCGGCTTTAAGGAGCGCTACCCGGGGAAAGGGATAGGAGAGCACAATCACTGCCGCAACCCGGATGGCAGGATCCGACCTTGGTGCTTTTTCAGGAACCACAGAGGCAGAGCGGACTGGGGGTACTGCGACTGTAAACAAGGTAAACACGCAGGCCTATAGACACACAGCAATAGGCTACTGCATTTTGTCGGGATCCGTGCAGTTTTCTCAAATCTGTGGAAATATGACAAACACAGTAGGGACTGAACACAAACTGAATCCCCAAATGAAATGAGTCAATGCAAGCTGCCACAGATAAACTAAGTCATTGTGACATATGACATGCTATATTAATTTGTATTTGGGCTGATGAGGTGCAGAGAAATGTGCAGGGGTTTTAGCAGCAGTGTGCCACTCAAATAAACCAGCTTGGTCAAAAGTGTTACTATAATACATCTCTGTATTGATGAAAGCTAGAGAGAGACAGAGAGAGAGAGAGAGTGTGTTGAAAGGAATAAAGTGTGTGTGATTTCCATCTGGCACAAGACAAGCAGCCTGTGGTATTTTTACTCTTAAAGTGTGTTGGCACATCACCTGTAAATAATCTTCCGGTAATTGATACATGGAATTGAAATACATTGATCCAGTTATTAAAGATGTTAGGACAATTAAAGGCCCTTAGGAGGGGGGATGCCAAATTTGGAGTCTGTCCATGTGCACTTTTCCCAAAGAAAAGAGCCACACACTGGATGTTCACTTCTCTGTGCATATGTGTGTCTGGGGGAGCATGCACCCTTATATTCTCTGTTGCCAGAATAAACCAAATATATGAAAGCAACCAAGTTACTCCGACAATGAACAACATCCACACACACACACACACACACACTGTAGTCATGCCTGTACACTTTCAGAAACATTTGTGCAACACTGAATTCCAAATCCTGAGTGTTGCTAAAAGAATTTTAATCAATGATTTGCCCCCCCCCCCCGTCTTTCAATGTCCTACTCCCTTTTATCGCCTTTAATCTCCCATTTTGTATGTGCTGTATTATCATACATCTACTGTTCTTTAACCCTCTTTCCATCCTAGGCTCTGTGCGTCTGCAAGGAGGCCGCTCCAAGCTAGACGGCAGGGTGGAAGTCTATCTAAGAGGAGTGTGGGGGTCTGTCTGTAGCGATGACTGGGGGGACCAAGACGCCGCAGTAGTTTGCAGACAGCTGGGCAAGGGGTAAGAAAGCACGCACACACACACGCGCTTAGACATGCACTATTTGTCGCTCTCTGTCTGCCTCTCCCGCTCACATACGTATTCAGACACAGGTGCAATCACCAAATGCCATATAAATTTGGAATGTGAAGCTGTCATCAGGGGTCTGACAGATGGTAAGAGTGTGATGGAAATTTGGTGGGAACGTTACATTTCACAATGCTTTGGACTTACACATGCATGCACACTCTCCACAGTCTTTGTACTTCTCTTGTGTGACCCTTGCATTCCACCCCCCATTCCCCAGAGGTATTTAAATATCTTAAGTGCTCAGCTATTTACCTTGTAACCAGCTCTCTCTTTGTCTCTGTCTCTCTCTCTCACACACACACACACAAACACACACACACACACACACACACACACACACACACACACACACGCGCGATTGTGTCTTATGGCCTTGTATTATGAGATACTTTCGTGCTAGAAGAGCCATTGACTTGCTGGGTCTCGAGGGAGCCTGTAGGCAGATCATACATATCGACAGTGTTCATACGTTGGGTTGAGGGTTCAATTGAACACGCATCTGATTTTCCCTGGAGAACAGAGATGTTCTGTGCACTCGCTACACATATGTGTTACACCAGGCGCTGGCTTGCATGCCGACATGAACACATGCCTGTGTGTGCATATTCACACAGGAGTCAATGAAAGTCCACTGTCGAGAGGAAAGAGGGCAAATGTCAGCCATATGTCAGCTGGAATCGTTGGTGATGACTTTCACGAGGCCAGTTATTGAAAGCTGTTGGGTGTAAAACTGCTGACCGTGTTGGCCCTGGAATGGCAGATTATGAACATACAGATGGCTCAAGGTTACTGCCACCAGCCTAAAATGGCTGCTTTACCTTTTGCTCTGAAATGCCTGGCTGCAATATTTATCTCAGATGATATGAAAAAATAAAAGACAAGCAACATTAATTAGGTTGCATTTCTCTTGAAAGTGTTTTAAATGTCTTATTGTCCCATTAGACTAGGTTTGTAGGTTAAAAAAAGTATTTCAAATAATTAAAAGTAACTTGTTTGGGAGGGGGATTACGGTAGTAATCTTTACTCATTACCACTGATGGCAACATTGCCCAGCACTATTGCTCAAAAAGTTTCCCCGTGTATCATCAGCTTTAAATCAAGGGCAACTGGACTTGGTAGAAGATACTTGAAGGGAGAAGGCTGGACTCCCACACTTACTCATCTTGTTGTTTGCAAATTGATCCCCTTCCAGGGTCTCAGGTCATGCACGTGCAGTTCCCCTTTTTCGTCCAAGCATGGCCAAGCTCCATTGGAGGGCCGTCCATTGCCAGGGAGAAGAGCCAGACCTGCTTCAGTGTCCTAAGACTACTTGGAATGGAGGGGAGTGTTCTTTGGCTGCAGCCATCACCTGCACCCAGCAGCAAGGTGGGAGAGATCCGATAACTCTGCAAGCCCTCTACAAGTCCACAACCCCTACTCATTTACTTACAATTTAGAATTCTCCTCAATATATACTTTAAAATGAATTGTATTTTGTGTCAGCCTGCATAGATTCTTTACGTTGACTACATGTAAATGTGTGTATTTATGTCTTTGTGCATTTTAGAGGTAGCCACGCTACCTGTCCGGCTGGTGGGAGGTCGATCGGGGTCAGAGGGCACAGTCGAGGTTTTCCATGCAGGGCAGTGGGGTTCCATATGTGACGACCAATGGGACAACAGTGATGCAGAGGTGGTGTGTCGACAACTGGGGCTGAGGTGAAGGGGCACCACCAACCTACACATACACACACACACACACACACACACACACAGATGTGTTCAAAATTCCAACCCATAATTAGCATTAAGGATAAACATTGTGAAAGAGAATGCGAGGAAATAGTTTAACAGACAGACACAGTAGGAAGCTGTGATGAGTTAATGTGGGTGTCCAGCCGTCTGTCTCTTCCTCTGTCCCCAAAAGTATGAGAAGTATTCTTTCCATTCGGACACACAGAGAGAGGAGCACGCAGTAAAGAACATCTGGGGGTCAGATAATGAATCAGGCTCATTGTTCCTGCATGAATTCTAGCACCACAGAGATATGCATATTTAGTAACACTATACTCTCCTCAAATGTTCCCGTATGCTTTTTTTTTTGTGTGCCACTGCCTTGTTGGTGTTGCATTGTTTATGTAGGCATGAATGTGCGTGACAGTTTCTAATTAATTTGAAATGCAGTAGGCTTATTCAAGTTTAAACAAATACAGCATCACACACCCTGTACTTTGTAAGCCATGGCCAGGCGGTGCATCTGTTTTTCACTGTATCAGTACTACTGCAAACCAAAACTGTTCTTCTGTACCGTCTCTTTGCTTTGTAGTGGTGTGGCGAGGGCGTGGGGCCAGGCACATTTTGGCAAGGGTTCAGGCCGTGTGTGGCTGGATGAGGTGCGTTGCACAGGCAACGAGCTCACTCTGGAGCAGTGTCCAAAAAGTGCCTGGGGTGAACACAACTGTCTGCACTCTGAGGATGCAGGAGTGTCCTGCATCCCTCTAACAGGTAGAAGTACACTTGCCACCGCGTTAGTGATTGATAGTATTCACAAAGACAAGTGAACTGCACACATATTTTACATATAGAGATATGGAAGGCCTTCCAGGAATGCTCACCATATAGTGGCGGAAGTGTTTGCATGTACCAGTGACATCTGAATGTTCGTTGCTGGAGACAATAGACCTTTTTCATGGCAGACATTTCAACTTGTCATACACAATGACGTGTAACTGATAGCATTATTAATCTTTGCATTCCAATTATGTCTTCTGGTGATAGGGCCAACTGTGCATCCTGGGTTTCTGGAATGCCTTCAATCACTACAGCAATCATTGATGTTGTTATTTGAATCTGTGCATTTACTACTTTGACAAGTCAAAATAGGTTTTCAGGATAGAAAAAACTAATCGAAGAGAAGGGTCCAAGGTGAACGCTATCTTCCCCACATTAGCTCCCTCCTGGAGCCAGTGAGGCACTGGAGAGGAGCTTTTAGGAGAGCACATACTGGCCAAGCCTGGAAATAGACCATTGCTCAGCTTAAACAAACAATGTGGCAAAGGTTCTCTGTCACGTACAAGGAGAGGAGAAAGAGTCTGATGTGTTGCCAGGTGACCAGTGTGTGAAGGCCACAGAAAAAAGTTATTCAGTCCGAACAGGATCTCTCAGAGCTTTTTTGTCATTACTGCAGCCAGAAATGACTGCAATAGCAATGTCTTTTCTGAATGTTTGCAGTGCAGTTTGCAGCATTTTTATTGCTGTATTGTGATCAAGAACAAAAAGAAAGAAAATATCTCTTTGAAAAACAGCTGGTTAAATACAAATGTAAGCGAGATCATTGCCTAACTCTCTGTCTGTCTGTCTAGATGGTACTGTTAGGTTGGTAGGTGGTGCAGGCAGCAATGAGGGACGTTTAGAAGTTTTCTACCGTGGTCAGTGGGGGACAGTGTGTGATGACGGCTGGACAGACTCTAACACGCAAGTGGTGTGCCGACAACTTGGTTACAGGTAATGTGAAGTATTTGTGTCCCCAGACTGGGAAATGCATGTGCACTATTTTTACTTATTAATACAGAAACAATAGTATGTTTACGTGTGTGTCCATATCTTGCAGATTAGGTGAGACTCTCCTTTCTGAGGGACTAGACATTACCCCAGTCCCACGCTTCGGGGTGGGGTCCGGTCCCATTCTTTTGGATGATGTGAGCTGCACAGGGAAAGAGCCTAGCCTATTCCTGTGCAACAGGAGGGAGTGGCTCCATCATGACTGCACACACCATGAAGATGTTAACATCGCATGCAGCCCCGAGCACAATGGAGAGAGTATTTCAACTAGTAAGACAAAATCTTATCATACTGTGACAAAGTTCAAAGATTACAGATGAATGGGTGAAAATAGCCCGTTAAGCAGGGTATACTTTAAGCTATGAATATCTTGGCAACCTATCAGGTGTAGCAATGCGTATTCCTGCCCAGCTACACCCTCTCCCTGGCTCCAAAAAACCAATATGGTTAGTTACCATAGTTCTACTTGAAGCCGTAGGTTAGTTTGTTATAATAATACACCTGGGAATGTCCATGTGGGGGTGTTTGAGGTTTGAAGTGGGAGGGCAAGGGCATGTGTGTGCAATCTCTAAACATTTCTGGCCAGTGTTTTAGGAAGATTGATGTGACTTGGGCCTTCATAAATGTTAATGGTCTTTCTTAAAGATTCCATTCAGGTTTTAAAGTTGGTCATAGCGCAGAAACTGTAGTTGCAATTGTGGCATTTTAGCACTCCTCTCTTTTGTTTATTTTAGTTCATATGAAGTCTTTTTGTTATTAATAATAAGATTTTTAACATCTTAAATAGCGAGTGTTCACTCTTATCGCTCTTTTGTGTGCCCACTTATGAATACAAATCATACAGACCCTTGGAATTATGGGGTGCCTCAGGGTTCAGTCTTTAAACTGTTGTATATTACTTTCATGTGCCACATTATTTAAAGAAAAAACTAGATTTTTGACCAAGATCCATTTCTGATTGGATTGGAGACCTCACTCTACATACACAGAAGTTGAAAATTGTGATATCTTGTGAAAACTTCTTCTAGTTATTCCAATAAATTAGAACTCATTATCAAGTGCATGTTAGGAGTTATAAGAGGAAGTGTTCTCGGAAGAGATGAGTTTTCAAGAGCTTCTTGAAGTTAGAGAGCGACGCCTCTGCTCTGATGGCGTGTGGTAGCTCATTCCACCATGGTGGTGTCACAGTTGAGAACAGCCGGGACTGGGACTGCTTTGTGTGAAGGGATGGCAGAGCCAGGCGGCGTTCGTTGGAAGAGCGTAGTGGCCGAGAAGGAACTTAAACTTCTGTTATGGAGTTTAGGTAGATAGGTGCAGATCCAGTAGTCAATCTGTATGCAAGCATTAGTGACTTGAATCTGATTCTGGAGGACATGGATAGTCAGTGGAGGACACACAGTAATGGAGTGACATGAGTCCTTTTGAACTGATCAAAAACCAGACGTGCTGCTGTATTCTGAATCATTTGTAGGGGTTTCACCGCACAAGCTGGAAGATCTGCTAGGAGGGCATTGGAATACTCTCTACTCTGGTTATGGGGTTTTCAGGGTATTTTAATCACTTTTATAGCTCATATGGCTTTAACTCCTGACTACCGACCTTTTACCCACCAAGTTCCACCTCAGATCCTCTAGTTTCTTCTTTTTACTGGTTGCTAGGTGAATACAAAGCTATCAGGTTTTGCCATCTTTCCCCCTCAACTCCAGAATGACTAGCTGGATGATATCACCCCAACTAGTTTCTTTTTAAATTCTCTTCAAAATCCCCCTTTACAACACATTATTCTAGAACCACACTACTTGCTGATCTTTCTTCATATTTTACTCCCATTTGATGTATAAACATTTGGGTGAGCTCTTGAGAATGAGGATGAAAATATTACGATTATTATCAGTAATAATGTTAGCTTACCTTCGCACTAAGAGCACACATGCTTTATTGGTGGTGAAGAACAGGAAACCAGATGATGAAAATCTCTATATAATTTCCCTTCACTTCATAAAACTAGGTAATGAGGTGTAAGCTGATCTGAGATCTCCTTCTAAGATCTCTGCCATACTCAACCTGGGGTCAATTGGATCTCATCTTACTTAGAAGATGAAAGCCAACATTCTCCAAGAGACAGATAGAGGATATTGTAAGTCATGCCAAGTCTAATAGGCACAGCTGTTGGTTAGCTTGTCCTGCCTTAATAACTGGGTCGCTTGTAAAGTCGTCATGATTAAATGGACCTGCTGCAAACCTTCTCCTAAAGCAAGTCTCGCTCATTCATGCCACTATTGTTCGCTGTTTCCTAACTGCCAGGCACCAGTGAGCTGACACCATATAACACAATCACATAACACAAAAGTACTGCAAAACTACACTTCTTACCTCTTTATAGGAAGACACAGAAGCGTTCAGTTGTGTTACTACCTGCTGAAAGAGGGAGAAAGGGATGAATGGTAACCCCATTAATCAAGTGTATGTTAATAGACTCCAGATATCAATAAAGATAGTTATGGATAGAGCTGGATAGAACCAGTAGTGGCTCAGATTTCACATTCTACTGTATGTAACTGTTCTCTGCCATCTGTCTGGATGTTGGATGTAACACAGATGAGTCTGATAAGTCTGAGTAAATGTCACAGAAAGGATACATCATGGTTTATGTGTCTTAAGTGATGATAAGTTGGCAGGCAAGAGCCTGACGGAGAATCTCACCCCGCAAAAACCCACCAAAGTATTATGTCGTTACTACATAGTGTTTGTGTGTGTGTTTGTTTGGGTGCATTTGTTTGAGTGTGTATGTGTGTACGTTAATCCCTCCTTACCCCTCAACATGCCACAGGCGGATTGGTTTATGTTGTTTTTGGAAAAGGAGGAAAAGCAGATAAGCCAGGCTGCGCTTTGAACTCTCTCTCTCTCTTTCGTGCTCTGTTGTGAGAGACAGGGTCGTGTCAGAGCAGCGATGTAACGCGTGTGTGTGTTCTGAGACAGGAAAAAAAAAACAGTGTTTGTGTTTCTAAGTCAGAGGACAAAGATGAGCATTTCCTTAATAGCAAACACCAGCAAAGAAGGAAACATTCCCACAATTAACTCCACCAATCTTAACCTCCCCCTCCTCCTAATGCAGTGTTTGTATGCAGCATGTCAGTCAACTCAATACAATTACAAGAATCGATCTCAGGCTAACAACTGCAACTGACAACTGCTGAAGTTTTAGGATTTACTGTTTACAAATTGATTCTATTACTGTACATAATGTTTGAGCTAGCTAGCTAATGGAACAACCGACCGATGTATATAGAAAAGCTTAAAAATATCTGACACTTAGCAAGAGCGTAAACTGATCCTAAAATTCTCCACGCATGGAAAATACATCAGCATTCACTTAAATTGTGATTATTGTGTGTATGTGTGTGTGTGTGTGTGTGTGTGTGTGTGTGTGTGTGTGTGTGTTTGGGGTGGGGGGGTGGGGGGGTGATGGATTGTTTAAACCTAAAGCCCAGACTGTTTCGATTAACAGTGTCAGTGAATACCATTTGAGGGAGAAAGAAACAAGAGAGGGAGTGTGTGAAAAACAGAGAGGCAATGAAAATAGAAGAAATGATCTTTCATCATAGTGACAGAAGTCTTAACAATTTCCCCCTCAGGACACACAAGTGGTAACGTGCATGAAAGCAGACAGGTGTTCAAGCTACTTCCTTTGTAGGGAACAAGCGTGCACATGCCCCATTCACTGGACATTTTAGACTGGGAGATCAGGTTTTTTAGGGGATGTGTGTTTAGTGACTTTGAGGATTTCTACACTCTGGGGTTTTAACTAACTTGTGCAAAAAAATCTGCGCCCGCAGGGTGAGTCTTTGCGGTTGGCCTAAATTGTGTTTGTGTGTGTGATGTTCAGGAGTGCCAGTAAGGCTTGTGGGAGGAGAGAGCCCGAGGGAAGGCCGGGTGGAGCTCTATCTTTCTGGACAATGGGGGACGGTTTGTGATGATGGATGGACTGATCGTGACGCTGAGGTGGTGTGTCGACAGTTGGGATACAGGTATGTCTGTATGTGTACTTGTGTCACAGTAGCCCCTTCGATAGCCTTGTGTTTGTGGGTAACATGAAAACTACCATCCATCCATCGTCAAGCCCAAGTTATGTGTGTACTGTGCGTGTGCATCAGGACACTTCCAAATAGAGTGCTGAAAAGAGTGCTTCGGCTCTTTTTTCTCATCCACACACCTCATACCATCCATTACTGTCAGATCTTTCTTCTTGTCCTTCTCATTTTTACCATATTTTTCATTTTTCACATTTTCAGTCATGGTCGGGATGTTGGAAGAGAGGTAAAATGTTGGAGAAAAGCATGTGAACTGTGGCATTGCAATATGATCACTCTATACATTACACTGACATAAGTGAATCCAGACTGCCTACTCTGGTTGCAAAATCAGTCACCGCTTCTTAGACTTGTCATCTGTCTTACACTCGCTCTCACTTTCTGTGTCTGTCTTTTATCTTTCAGCCCTGCTGTTTTCATTTTGCACGTCATCACTCATGTCTGGAGTTTTAAGCAAACCTAAGATGGAAAAACTACAGTATGCTCTAAATCATTTAAAATTACTATATTTCATTCCAAATTCTGCATTCAAGTTTTTGAGCACATCTTGTGTGCCTCTGGTGTGTTGTCAGCTGCTTTAATTAGTGATCTTAGCTGTAGTCTTTTGCAGAGCCAAGATAAACATCCAATTAAAGGGCAGGCCAATTGTGCAAATGACACATTCACTGTGATGGATATGTTGAGGCGAAGCAAATTACCTCATCTCATCCTCTCTGTGTCCCATTATCTCTTCCCTCTGAGACACCGTCCTGTTTTCCAAAACAATGGCAATGGGATGGCAAGGGAAAACTGTAACAAACTGTCTTCGTTTTCTCTCACTCCTCAGCAAGGGATACTAGTCATCCCATAGCCACCCAATTTTCTGTGACACATCTGCGTGTAGATAAAAGCCACATCTGGAGCGCATAAGCATGAGTGAAAGAGAGGGGAAGCGTGTTGGAGGGGTGTAAAAGCCATGTTAGGATCATCATTCTGCACAGGGTGTGGTGAAAGGTCATTACATACACAGCAGGTCCCCAAGGGTTAGAGGATGCTCTGGGGGTGATAACAAAACGTACGCAGACACACAGTTAACAGTTTGACCCAGAGTCACCCTGAATTAGGACCTATATGGTACTGGACAACTTACACACACGGCAAAGGTTTGCCAGCATAATTTGGCAACAACTTAATTTGCTAGTGGTATAAATGAAGCCTTTGAGTATGGTTTAGACTTGCTGTATGAGAAGTGCATTGAGATAACTTCTGATTAGAATTGGTGCTATATAAATAAAATTTGATTGAATTGAATTGTACTGAATCATGCTTGCACTGCTACTTCATGCTACTACAGCTCCAACCATTTATTTTATATATCTGTCACACTGCATCACCAGCAAATGTGGCAAAAAGCAAATGTATTTATAAAGCACAATGTCATATACAATGAGGCAGTTTCAAAGTGCTTTACATACACTTAAGAACGAATTGAAAACTTATTCAAAGGCAAGCATAAACAACCAAATAACAATAATAAAGACATAAAAACACAATATAAATGATGTGGAGCGGGGAAATAGGGTCTGCCTTTAAAGCCACACTGTGGATGTGTTACCATGTGACAAGAATAGAACAGTAAGAGGTTTTGCATGGGTTGAGGACTTTTTTGAAGTCTGTCAAAACTGCAATAAGTTCCTGCAGCACATGATCAACTCACCTTGCCTGCATTTGTTTCCCCATCCTCCCATGCAGTATTTAAACCAGAAAGTCTAACAAAAATACCATTTGAAAAATGCTTATGCAAAATTTTAAAGATCATGTATGTCAAATGGACTGTTCATGAAATATGATGTCTGGATGTCTGAGAAAGCACTTGGCTTTCCAAAGCAGATTGTGTTACATTTTTGACTGATGTTACTGTGTGTTGCCACAGAAAAACATCCAGCAGGCCTGATGTCAGTCTCTAGGCTTAGTTCCAAGTGACGAGGTTCACCCTTTGCTTCCAAAGTACCGCTCAGGGAGCTATTGGAGACACAGACACAATGCTACATGTCTCAATAAGAGACACGAGATTCCCTTTGGATGAGTGGGGGATACAAGAGCTGCCACCTACCAAACCCCAGGGACGCAACATGAGACCCTCTCAGTCAGTTTCCCATCAATCTTAATTAAAATCACAGCTACAGCCTATACAGGCACACATACACAACCACAGCCTACAGACATCTGTGTGTTAGCTGCTTGCTAATGAAAGTCAGGGGTGAGATAATGATACAAGTAGTGTTGTTATCAGATTGTGAATAGAAATACATAGTAAAAAAATAGAGTTTAAATCACTTGATCAAAGATGTTTTTTTAAGTAAATCAACATGTTACAACCCAACATAACACAAAGATCTAATTAAATCTGGCCTACGCATTCAAAATAGCAGTAGACTATTACACAAAATAAACATTTCAAGTTCTGACGGGTGTTACAGCTCATCTGCAAATGGTTCAAAATACTGTGCAAGGAGCAAATTACTCCAGTGTTGGCTTCTCCCCATTTCCCGCCAGTGGAGTTTAGAATTCGATATAAAATGTTAGTTATTACCTCAAGGAAAAGCCCCACATTTTTGAATTCTCTGTCTACTAGATGTTCCCAGGGCTTAGCTTAAAATGAAGGGGGCAGAGAATTTGATGTCCCAAAAGGATCCCAAAAGTTTGGAAGAGTTTTCCTTTTACTATTAGATCATCTAATTCATCTGAATCTTTTTTTGAAAGGACTCACTTTCTCATCTGATGTTTTGCTTTTTGTTGACATTATTTCTGTTTGGTAAATTATTTCTTTATGATTTTTGATGCTTTAACACTGTGTAACCTCTGTTTTGAAAAACTCCTTTTTTAATCAACCTTACTTGATCATATCAGCTCAGTTTATCATCTGCCTCAATATGAACTACTTTCTTGACAGTTTTTGACAGTTCTCCATTTTAATATGTGTTTTATAATTCTAATAATTTTAGAAAGCAAATGTGCTCTGTGTCGTGTCCATCCTCCCCAGTGGCGTGGCGAAGGCCCGTGTGATGGCATACTTCGGAGAAGGGACAGGGCCCATCCACGTGGACAATGTGAAGTGCAGTGGTGAGGAGCGTTCATTGGTAGACTGCATCAAACAGGCACCCGGCACACACAACTGTCGCCATAGTGAGGACGCTGGGGTCATCTGTGACTATGGTGAATCACAGCCCAGCTACAATGAGGTCAAAGGTTAGTCAGGTCTGTTTTTTTGTGTGCTTTTTACTTAATGTTGCTCTGGAAAAAAATGGAATGCCTGTGATTTATTTGGCGCATCGGAGACTGTAGTGTGTTTAGCAAAAATTTAAAATATGTCATTTACACTGAAAACCTAATGAGAAACAAATGACTACAGAAAAAGTCGGGAGGTAAGATTCTGAGAGGAAAGCAGGAAGGACTTCAGTGTGTGTATATATCCAGATGGTAAAATGAAGAGAGTGATGTTATTGTTTCGCCCTGTCTGTCACACATCGGGGCAGACTCACTCAATGCTATCCATTATCTGCACACATGCCATTACGTCAAACCAGTTCAGGAGAGTGTTTTGTCTCTTCGGTATGATAAACATCACATACACGTAGACACAGATGAAAATGATATGTCATTTATTTAATTTACTTTATTTCAGGTTCATATTCATGTAGAAGTAAACGATTGTTATTTTTTCAATCCATCTAAATATTTAACAAGAGCAAAATCTGAGCCTAAATGAATGGTTTAACAATCATCACCCTCCCACACACTCTCACATATACACATTCAGTGGTTTTTCTTTTGTCTCTGTCAGACCCTGTCAACTCAGTTTGTGGTCTGCGGCTTAAACACACTCGCCAGCGCCGAATCATAGGAGGAGAAAACTCTCTGAGGTAAGCTGAAAGGGACAGGCGGTATCAATGAAAGCACGGAGAATGCCTGCCAAAGACATATATAATAAAGAATATAAAGAATATAGGGCATATATTCAAGCTCATTCAGCTAATCTGAAACTACAGACAAAGAAATATTCAACTGTGTGTACTTCCAAACATGAACATTGTACTCTTTACGTATGTGGGTAAATGTAATTATGCAAGTAAGAATGTATTTGTTATGGGTGTGTCACCTAGAATGAATTAGGCTACATTTATGAGAAACAGGCATGCGGTTAACACAGAAGAACCCTCTTCAATTAAACAAGAAAATCCAGTGGTTATGATTTTGTTTTGCTCTATGTGTGTGTCTGTGTGTGTGTGTGTGTGATAGAGAGGCAGAATGAGGTTGGGATAAACAGAGTTTATTTGTATGCAACCAAATGTGTGAGGCCATATTTATGGGTAGATGTGACACTAAAGGATGTTGCTCATACTGAGTATTTGTGTGTTTGTGTGTGTGTGTGTGTGTGTGTGTGTGTGTGTGTACATGTTTACACTTTGCATAGCTACACTCATTTTGCTCGGTATGCTAATGTTTAGCGTCCTCAAAAGAAAGCACATAAATCATATTTGATTAAAATATGTGGGTTGCTATGTTGGCTACCTGTCTCAGGCTCTGTTATGAATCAAGGTACAATAACCACATGTGCTGACTTTCTGGTATGGTAAAATGACAATGCATTTTTTAGCATCCGAACAGGACTCAGTTTTCTCTTGTTATTTTTAATGCCGTATGGATTCTCTGTCTGCACGTAATTTGCACACTTTTATAACTGTTCGTGTGTTTACGTGTGTGTGTGTATGTGTGTGTGTTTATGTGCGTGCTTGGCTGTGTGTTCATGTGTGCAGGGGTGGCTGGCCATGGCAGGCTGCGATTCGTTTGCGAGGATCCCGAGGAGATGGAAGGTTGGTGTGTGGAGCGACTCTTATTGACACTTGCTGGGTCCTCACCTCGGCACACTGCTTCAAGAGGTCAGTCACACACGCCGACATGACATCAATAAAGATGTGTCACAGTTTAAAAGGCTATGTGAAAAAGAAATTTAAGCCGGTTCCTACAGCAGGTTCAGTATGGGATCCCAGGCCAAAACAAAACAATAGTTATTCTCACTTACAAACATGCATTAGGTTCTGTAGCAAAGTTTATAATGTATTATGAGATTTTGATTTAATGTTTTATAACTAATGTAATACCAGTTAATACCACTGTGGGCCAAGAATCCGTAGTGCATTCCATTGACTCTGCCTAGTTATAAATACACATTAGTCACTGTGCTGATGCATTTCAACAATTTATAATTATTGATTATACAAAATAGAAAACAAAAGTATAACCAGAAGTCCAGCAATTCAAAGAATCCAGTAATTCACATCAAAGAAAATCCAAGTGTTTTTAAAAAAGGCACAGGCATTGCAAATTTTTATACTAATGAACATTTGTAGGGTCTAAACTGCCTGAACTATAACAAACCAGATTTAGAAGGCAAATGGTAGAAGGGTTTCATTTTCTTTCAATTGTTTAATGTTTTCCTTTATTTCACGGTTATTGCAGCTCAACATTATAATGCCTTATGACCTTTGCTTTAGCACCTAATGCATGTTTGTAAGCAAGTGTAACAATTATTATAATGTCATTATACTAAAGTCATTATAGCGATGACCTTCATAGAAAGTGCTACCAAACTATTTATTTACACTATCCTGGCCACTGCAGTTGTCCTCGTGTCCACAACGCTGGTCGGTTGGTGTTTTCTCGTGTCAGGGTCCGCCACAGGCTTTGCAGGAGGTACACCCCTGCCTGGTGTCCCCACAATCTCTATTCAAAACATGAATGAAGGACTGGCTACTGTGCGTGATTGGTTGAGAGTCTGATAAATTGTTAATTAAGCGTGGTTGCATTCTGCATGTGGATGAATGGCAATCACTTTCCACATTAAATGCAAGGCAAACAAGCGGCATTCTGATAACACACTAAAATAACTAAAATGCACTCTAAAAACATGCAACCAAGAAACTCTAGAAACCATATAGTTAGAAATAAATATACAATTAAAATATGCAATAATTTAGTTCCTAAATACATACACAAACACAGCTACCTTTTACATTGTGTTTTTAGTTTCATGCATATTTTGGAGTTAATCTAAGTTATCTTTATTCATGAAAATGTGGCTGTATTTTTGCATACATTTTCCTTTGCTTGTGGTTTGAGCACCAGCCGAGCTACACTACATATTTACTTCCTCAGTATTTTCAAGTCCGACAGAGGCATGAAAACCGCGACAATGTGAGGAGGTATCAGTGGTGGTTTACCAGAGTTACTTCATCTAGCACCACCAACTTCAAATTCATCACCTAATGCATACAGCAGAGACGCCAGCGAAAAGAGTTGTGCATAAAAATAAAATAAAATGAATTGAACAGAGAGAGACAAATTTGAACTCTTTACACTCTTTACAGGCTCCAGCAGCTCCACCACTATAAATCCTGATGTTTCCACATTAAAGAGAGGAAGTGGTTCATTCACTAAATCCTTTCCAGCGCCATTTCTCTAGCCATTCCCAGGCCCTTTCCACTGCCGGAGTTGTACTCCTAATACAGGAAACTCTACTCTGCGATGTGACTCTTCCATCCTAATCTTTTAAATGACACCCACAGGAAACACACGGCTGTACTGTGCTGCATATTAAGACGTCTTGGGATGTAGCCATCAGGACTTCTAGGACTGATCAATGCAAACAATGTGATTAATTGACCACCAGTGTAATTGCAGACTGAAATTATACATTTTACTCTGACTCTACTAACAAGTCATTTAAAACTGTACAATAGGCACTATAGCAGCCAAAACAGTTATTCTCAAATATGTCTTTATCAGATTCTTCTTGTTGTTTTGTGTCATGGTTTGCTTGTGCAAGAGAAAACAAATGACAGGCTTTATCCAAGCAAAGTCATTATGTAGTATGTTTGTACTTAATGACCTCGGTGCTCACTTACCTACTGACTCAGGCTTTGCATGTTATATTGAATGGGTTTTGATGATTGATAGTAGCTTGTGGGATTCATCTATCAGAGCCAGACTGATGACGTTTTTTACAGTAGTGACATTCTGCTGACTGCTGCAGATTGGCGCTAAATTTACAGCATAACAATTTACTAGCATAACAGTTTATTTCTGATAAATATTTATTGTTTCTCCAAAGCTACTGTAAATGCACACTTAAATACCAAATAGGAAATATTTTATTTTACCTATAGGATATTTGTTGCAACATGTTATCACAAGCAGACAAGAAAGGTCAGACTCTACAAAATGCTTATCTTGCCTGCCCTGATCACATACCCGCCTTTCAGTGATCCAAGCTATCAGCTTCTGCTGTGACAGCTTTGAAAAGAAATTTGCTGCATGCAAGCCGGAACACGCAGGCCAAGATACGGACTTCCGACTTTACAGTGTCACCTTTCGTACACCCATTCACACACACACACACACACACACACACACACACACACACACACACACACACACACACACACACACACACACACATATACACACAAGCATACAAAAACAGCAACAAACAAACAAATACACTCATGTAGTCACACAAATCACAGAAAATACATCAACATGTTTGCATACCCACTAATATAATATAATAATATGCACAGAAGCACAGCTGATTTTATAATGACATGTTAAGGTACAACTACCAAATGTAATTAACACGATCATATTACCTTGTCCCTTATATTGCCATTACCGATTCGTAGGTTCATAAAAATTGACCTCAGGTCAGTGGTCACAAGCTGTCAACATATTAAACCTATTTCTACCTTGTAGCTGTACAGCTGAGAGCTTGCCAACAGTAACACAACACCAGCAGATGTTTTACTGTTTTTAGGAACAACAATGGGTGAAAGTTAACTTAGGTGTCACATTCACATTCTAAACCAGAGATTTTGGCTTTAGCACAAGTTCAGGCCTGTTGTACCAGTCTTCATAAGCTCAGATAAAGTCAGTCTACCTTAAAAATGTTTGCCAAAGAATGTGTGCCTGTGTGTGGGAATGCGTAGATGGCCTTGTACTGTACATGGATGACTGGTCAGCAGTGTCTCCGCTTTGCCAGGAACATTGTGGCATCCCCCGGGTCAGGAGATCTTTCCGGAAGCATACTACAAGTGGTAACTGGACACAGAGATTTGGCTCTATCGAAAGGCCTCCTTCTTTTACTCCTCTCCTCTTCCTTCTCTTCCCTCCCTCCGTCTACTTTGGTTCTGTCTTTGTCCCAGACTTACCCCACTCCTCTCTTCTCCTTCAGTCCCACTCTATTTCAAAAAGGCCAAACCTCTCCAACAAGGAAATGGCAAGCATGAAAAAAATGCTTCATTATGTCAACCTATGAGTCAGAGTAAAGCATAAACAGACTCAGTGACAGATTAATTGTTATCATTCTTGCCTTAACTCATTCTCTTTCCCAAGTTTTCATTTGTTTAGCCCCTAGAAGTAGTGCAATAAGTGTGCAACCCTTTCTTAGTCATGATTTATATTGAATGGATAGAATGTATGAAAGCACTACAACAATGTTGCATTAAAGAAGGATGGGAGGTACAAAGAAGAGAAACCATAGCTGATAAGTTACCTAAGAAACGCTTTTAGAACTGTCTAACTGAGCATATAAAAAACCAATACCAATACCATGATATAGAGCCAACAACTTTAGTATTATGTCGTATATAATGTAATGTTAGTTGGTTGTGGGTTAGCAAACTGTCGCTACAGATGCTGCTGTGAAGCTATAATGCAGAGAGGATGATGTTTCCCAGAGCCAGCACACCAGCTCCTACTCACAGCTCTCCTGCTACTATTGCTAACATCACAACAACAGCATGTCTTGGTGAACTAGGAAGTAAGCTGAATGTCTGTGGTCAAGTAAGTTAACGTTACCTGACACAAATCATGGCTGGAACAGTGTGGCTCGATCCGAATCACTTTGTTTGTTTCCCATTTACAGAGCCAAACACCTGATTTATTTTAAGAGCATACACAAAACAGACAGCTAGCGGACCGGGAGGAGATATGCGCAGAATTTGACAAAAAGACGTGTATTGGATTAGAATGGCTTAGGCTACATTTAAATATTTAGACAAAAAAAAACTTGAAACCTATTCCACTACACATATTCAGTAGTACAGGCAAGTGTGCTCAGTGTAACATAAGTTTACTACTTTAGATGAACTATTACTGAGGTAAACCCTGCCAGAGCTCATCATTTTGTTGCTCATGGTTTCTGTATCACCAGTGGTATTGCTCTCTCTCTCTCTCTCACACACACACACACACACACACACACACACACTGTCTTTCTCTAATGGCCTGTTCTCGACCCATCCCTCTCTGCAGGTATGGAAACAGCACCAAGCAGTACAAAATTAGAGTGGGCGACTACCACTCCCTCGTCCCTGAGGAGTATGAAGAGGAGTACGGCGTTGATCAGGTTGTCCTCCACCCAGGCTATCACTCCCATACCAATGATTACGACCTGGCCTTGGTTCGTCTGTCACCTGGGGCAGTGGGCCAGATGCCGGGAGAGTGTGTGTCATTCAACCGTCATGTTCTTCCCGCTTGTCTGCCCATGAGGAAAGAGAGAGTGCTCAAACAAGCCAGCAACTGTCACATTACCGGCTGGGGTGACACAGGTAAGGGTGTGTGTGTGCAGAAAAAAAATTTCCAAGCATGTGTCATCAAAATGTAGCGACGTTTAGCCTACTTCTGTCTTTAAAATGAATGCGTACTAAATAAGAAGTTATCCAACGGACAGGCAACTGGTCTTGGTTGAAGATACTGGAAGACGTTTCGTCCCTCATCCAAGGGACTTCTTCAGTTCTGACAAACTGTTAGGAAAACTCAGCTATTTAACCTCAGTGGGGTCGTTTGCCAGGATCATCGATACCGCTGGTTCGTTAGTGTTCCTGGCTGTTGTAACGACAGTCATTATGGTTGTTAGGACTAGCCATGGCCGAGACTGAACGACCATCGTTGGCATCTTCACCTGAGGCCAATAGGTTACGTTTGTTGTTTCCTGGGAAGTGATGAAAGGACCGCATTGTAAGTGGGGGATAAGTGGTGGCGTAGACCCCCTCCCCTGTTCAATGATGGCTTCTCAACCCGGGTGTAGATGGCTTCCTTGACACCTCTTTCAAACCATCCATCTTCTCTGTCTAAAATGTGCACCTGGGGGTCCTCAAATCAGTGTCCTCTATCCTTCAGATGTAAGTAGACTACGGAGTCTTGACCTGAGGAGTTGGCCCTTCTGTGTTGAGCCATGCGTTTGTGTTGTGGTTGTTTGCATGTGTGTGCATTCCTCACTGCATTGGACCGCATACACTAGATTGCTTTTCTTGTGTTTGGGTGTGCGGTCTTTGGGGTGTACCAGCGTCTGTCTTAGTGTGTTCTTGGTTTAAAAAACACAGGGATGTTGATACTCCAGACACGTATGGAATCACAATGTTGTTGCGTTTGACCTTCTTTTCTTCATCCCCTGTAGTTTTTAGGGCCCGAGCACGACCGTGTGAGGTCCCTATTGAATTTGCTAAGATTATTAGGGCCCAAGCACGACCGTGTGAGGTCCCTATTGAAATTGCTAAGATTATATATTTAGGGCCCGAGCACGACCGTGTGAGGTCCCTATTGAATTTGCTAAGATTATATATATATATTTAGGGCCCGAGCACGACCGTGTGAGGTCCCTATTGAATTTGCTAAGATTATATATATTTTTTTTCTGCAAAGTAGGCTCAATTGACATGGCCTAAACATATTCGAAAACTCACCAAAATTTGCAAATATGTCAGAACCGGTGAAAAATTTCGTATTCTATGGGTTTGACAAAATGACTAGCTAGCGCCACCTAGAAAATTGGAAAAGATTAGCCCCTCGTTCACATTCAACCTACATGTACGAAATTTTCTGGGGACATGTATCATATCAAAACGCACAAAAAAGTCTCTTGGAGCCATAGCCTAAACCCAACAGGAAGTCGGCCATTTTGAATTTTACGTCAAATTTTGGATGATTTACACACTTCATACTTTAATGAACTCCTCCTAGGGATTTAGTCCAACCGACTTCAAATTTGTGCTGTGCCTTCTAAAGGCATTGAAGATGAAAAGTTGTGCTATTTGCGAGTTTTCGTCAATGGGTGTGTCCGTGGCGTTGCGTCAAAGATCAACTCTTCGCCATGACACAGGAAGTTGTTATAACTTCAGTGTACATGCTCACATCTGAACCAAACTTTACGTGCTTGATAACTGTCCCACCCCGCAGACATCTACACGCCAATACCGATTTATATTCATAGCGGCAAGTGCTATGTAGCTCCACATAGGGAACACAGGAAGTGACATATAGCACCTTCAAGCGGCGTCGGAACCGCGTAGCAAATTCACAGCCGCACCGGCAGAGCTCCAGAATGTGCAACTCGGCCGGCTCACACCCGGACGAGCTACAAGTGCGAGGGCCCACCCAACGCTGCTTGCAGCTTTAATGTTCTTCTTGGATCTTGTGGCTGTTTCCACAAAGGTCCATTTAGGGTATCCACAGGCTGTACGTGCCCCCTTCAGGTGGTTCTGTACCTTCTCTCTGGCTTGGGCGCTTGTTGGTATGTTTTCCGCTCTGTGGTGTAGTGTTCTCATGACCCCTAGCTTGTGCTCCAGTGGGTGGTGGGAATCGAAGAGTAGGTATTGGTCTGTGTGTGGGTTTTCTGGACTTGGTTGAAGATACCCCCCCACCATCTTCCAGTATCTTCAACGAAGTCCAGTTGCCCTTGACTTTAACCTTCGTTGGATAACTATGACCTGGATGACTGAGAATCTTCACAGATAAATAAGAAGGTGCAGAATTTAAAGCTTTAGTCATTCAAATGAAATATTTTTTTTCACAAAAAAACAAAAACTGGCCTCTGCGTCTTTACTAGGAGTGTGTTTATTTATTTATTTATTTTAAATAAATACACAACATTTACTTCAAAGCATTTAATAGGGCAATTGGAAGGTAGAAGATATATGACATATGATGTATGATATACAGTGACTAAGCAGTAATATAAAACAGGAAGTTAATAAAGGAAAAAAATCTAATCATACCACACTGGGACTAGTTATTTGAGGTAAAGTCCATTGGACAGACAGCAAAAACATTCATGTGACCACAGTAGTATTCCTATCATAAGTCATACCTCACATATTCTGTACACGGAAACACATCTGTGTGGCTAATTAAAGTGTGTGATGCTGGGAATGGCTGTTTATCTTTGGCCACACTGCCACTCTGATGTCACACACACACGCACACATGAGCAAGCATATTTTTGGCGATACATAACACCCTAAGCTACCATGGATATTCAGTAGTTAATACCACTGTGTGGTCATGGAGAGAGTCAGGGGAAGTCAGCTTGGTTGTGCGTACTGACAAATACAGTTGGCCATGTTCATCTGTGGAAAGCCATGGAAAGATCATGTCCTTGTCGCTACTGGTTGTTTCAGATGAAGTTTTAATAATTCATCCTCTAGGTACCATTAGCTACACCAAATGTCATAGCAATCCATCCAGTAATTTCAGACATTTTACCAGAAATGTCAACCTGCTGGTGCCTTTATGCAGACAAAGTGATGGACCGACTGACACCCCTAGCAAATATTCAATTATTGAAAGGCAGCAGGAAAAAATATGTTTTGAGGCTTCTGCCGCTTCCTGTCACCCCCTCTTATTTTTCCTTTCAGTCTCTGACCGTGGATTCAAGTAATGACACAATGACACATAGATGCTCACACACACTTCTCATTCTAAACACTCTTCCTCTTTCTCAGGCCGCTCATACTCCAAGACCCTGCAGCAGGCACCCCTCTCCTTACTTCCCCGTCGTCACTGCCAACAGCATTTCCACAGTGCCTTCACGACCCGCATGCTCTGCGCCGGCAGCGGCCAGTCGGAGAGGCGCGTGGACAGTTGTCGCGGTGACAGTGGAGGTCCGTTGGTGTGTGAGCGTCCGGGAGGAGGCTGGGTGGTTTACGGGGTCACATCCTGGGGCCATGCCTGCCGGACAGAACAGTCCCCTGGCGTCTACACCAAAGTCTCTGCCTTCAGTTCCTGGATACGCAAGATAATTGGACGTGATGACAGAAAAGAGACAAGGCGATGAAAGGTGAATGAGGAACTGAAACAACTGACGTCTCACTCAGAAAGAATGACTTAGTCAGATGACAACTGATTCAACAACGTTTTTCAGTCTTGAATAACTGATCTCATGATGCTATGACCAGATTATCCAGTGTTGTAAGTTATAGCCTGACTTTAAAATGGAGAAGACAAGGAAACCTTTGATAATTTTATGAGAGATGAAAGCGTGACATTTCTCTCATCTAAGTCATCAGCACTTATTTTTAATGATTTAATATTCTCATGGGCTGCACAATTCCTTCAACTCTCAACTCAAGAAAATGCCATGACTTAAATATCCTTTTGTTGTCTCTTGTGACATTTCATACTACACTAAAATGTATTATTTTCTTTTGAAATAATGTTCTCAATGCTTGCTTTTGTTATATTGTAATTTATGATATGAAATATGTTATTAACCATGTTGAAAAGGGACCACAGTGTAAAAACAAATATATAGAACGCATGCATGCACTCTTGCATTCACAGTGATGGTATGGAATGAATTTGCAGACTTGCACTAAGAACCCCTTTTAGGTACTTAATGCATTAAATTCAGTGCTTTCGTGTTAAGCATTTTAGTCATATTGACATTGTCCAACGTGAAATTTGTCTGTCAACCTCATTTCATTCTTCTTTATGTAATGTTTCTCAATTGTGTTCTTTGTTTTAAAGTGTAAAAAAACAATTTCAGGTCTTAGTAATTACTCAGGCATTTATAATTTATATACAATCAATATTTGTCCTTATTTCAGAAGGCTATAGCTCAATATGTGAAGAGAAATGAAGTGACTAGAGTGTTTCTGAATCACAAGTACACAACCACATTTCTAAGTCTTGATTTGTCATATTGACACAGTTCATTCATGTTCTTTTGTTCTGGTGGGATAGTTTAGTGTTGTTGAGGTGACAATCTGCTACACTTGAAAAAAAACCACTACACTGCCTTGTTATTTGGTGTTTACTGACTATGGATTATGTTTTAATGTACTCTAACATTTCTTCATAAATGTAGATTTTATAAAAAAAAAAAAAAAGTCTAAGTTTGTTGTTTGTTTACTTAAATATGTGATTAATAATGGCCTGTTTATGTAAAAACATTTTGGTGTTACTACATATGTTTTTGTAGGTATAGGTAAGTGGTTCTTGCACTTTGTATTACACGTTCCGTCGTTCTCACACATCTGAAATGTGAAGGTGCAGTTGGAACAAAAGAGATCTTTCAGTTTTGTTTCTGACTGCAAACTGTCAAAGTGAGCACCACTATGTCAGACAATATGTAAGCACATACACCCATGCCCAGCGTTACAGGAATGGAAACCATTTTCTGAGCCGTCCTGATTTAAAAGGCAAACATGTCATGTTGACTAGACACACATTTGAGAACTGGGACCAACTGTTACAGTAAGAAGCTGCATGAAATCTTGGCAACATAAATAAAAAATATTCTTATATTTTTTGTAAAATATATAGTTTATTTTTGTATTTTCTTCTTATATCAATGCACTTCATTTGTTGGGCATTTACTTTATGTTTTTTTTTCTCCTTATAAGCCAGCTACTTCCACCACACAGTGTTCACAGTTTGTTTTCATATCTGACAGAATAGCACCATCTTGTGGTTAATCCCTCTCATTAGACTGTATAAAGGCAATTTAATTTGCAATTGTAGACAGTTCCTGCTAAAGCGAACTTTGTATCTCCAGATGTTTTCTGTTGCAGGATTTGTGTTTACTTACCTCCCACTTACATAGGAACCTTATTAAGATTATGACTACTGTGATCTAATTTATTATTTGCTGTCAAAAACATTTGAAAATCTAAATGCATTCACAACCATAAACCAAGACATTGCTTCAAATTATGTTGAAAGGCATCATAAAAAGAATGAAGCTGTTTCTGAAAGTGTTGACTATGATTTTAGATAAGCTTTTACTTGATTTTAATTCTGAATTAATGAGCAATTTATGAGTGGTGTTGTTAAAATTGAATTGCTATCATGTCTCACTGCCTGGACCTTTGCTCTTTCACCCTCATAGACTTTTGATGAAGCATAGTGAAGTTACACAAAATGGTTTAATCAAAATTGAACTATGCGTGAAGCAGATGTGATGGTTGAAACCATAGTAGTTATGCAAAGATATTTTGCACATGCGTCAACACAGAGGCAGATTGCAGATGCAGATGCTAAATGTATTGCATAAACTCAAGAACTGCTCTCAGCTAGAACACAGTTGTCCTAATTGTCTGAGAGCACCCTCCTGTGGTCACTATCACACATTACAAAAGATTTTTAAATGGTCAGTATTATGGAAAATCAGATATCATAACTTAGGTAGCTTCATGAATGACTTTATAAAACCTGAAAAACTTTTAAACAATTAGACATAGCAAATGATTACTAATTTACTAAGTGTTCTTTTTTTCTTCGGGAAATAAATAAATAAGTAAAACTAACATATAAATAAAATTTAAAAAAAACTAAAAAATGGATAAACAATTAACATCCAAATATAAATGCACATTTATATTAACTAAATCTAAAGTTTGATTGAATTTCATAATGTTTATAACGTCAGTGTCCTTCATTTGCATTGTTCTTGTTGGTTTAGATGTTAAATATCTTTGTACACAATTTTGTAATGTCTAATGACAATTTTTCAAACCTCAGTGCTTCAGTTCTGTTTAAATTATTCAACTTACAAAAATCATAATCACAATATTAATCATAAACATAAATCAAATAAAATGACGAATAGAGGAACATATGTTTTTGTAGGTATAGGTAAGTGGTTGTTGCACTTTGTATTACACGTTCCGTCGTTCCCACAAATCTGAAATGTGAAGGTGCAGTTGGAACAAAAGAGGTCTTTCAGTTTTGTTTCTGACTGCAAACTGTCAAAGTGAGCACCACTATGTCAGACAATATGTAAGCACATACACCCATGCCCAGCGTTACAGGAATGGAAACCATTTTCTGAGCCGTCCTGATTTAAAAGGCAAACATGTCATGTTGACTAGACACACATTTGAGAACTGGGACCAACTGTTACAGGAAGAAGCTGCATGAAATCTTGGCAACATAAATAAAAAATATTCTTAAATCTTCTTATTTCCAGCACAATTTTGTAATGTCTAACAACAATTTTTCAAACCTCACTGCTTCAGTTCTGTTTAAATTATTCAACTTACAAAAATCATAATCACAATATTAATCATAAACATAAATCAAATAAAATGATGAACAGAGGAACCAGATAGCATTGCCCTTTTTTGGCTTTTACTTACTCTAGTCTTTGCTATTCCCTCTGAACCTCTAATGCACTAAGGAGCTTTTATTAGATGTCACCAGAGGTGGTGCAGAACAGAAGGTCTCATTATACACAGATAACATTTATTTCTCCTCATATCTGTTTCCATCAGTTAAACTCTGGCAACACTTGGGAAAACCAGTTGGGAAATATCTAAATAATGATTTCACCTGAATAAGAGTGATCTCATCAAATTGGCTGATAGAAACTCCCTCCTCTGCTGCTTTTGAAGGTTTATAGATTTGTGTTACCTTTAGACTGATTATATCTAGATCTGCAACTCTTGAGAGTATATCCTTTGTGTGGATCATGGCCCTATTTTAAACGTTAATCTTAAAAAAGTTGTTTGGGACAACAGTGATACATGCCTAATGAAAAAGGCGACACAAACATTAAAATCTTCTGGTGCATATTCCCCAATCACACACCTATTTTTTTTCGTCACAATGACGTAGTTAATAACCAGACAACTACACCGCTATACAATTTTACCGCTTTCTTTATGAACCCACCTGTTTAATCAATGCTGTAACAAACATTTCAACCATTCTATCAAATCCAAAAAAAGTGCTTTTCAAATAAAGCAGACTAGAGACTTAATTAGCAGAACAGTAACCGATTTCCTGCTATCACCCACACCCCTGTGAACTCTACAGTAAATATTGAACCCTGTTGTAAATGAGCCATTAACTTTCTGGAATACCTGAAGTTATTTCATCCCTTTACAAAGTCCGTTCTAACTTAGCTCCTTACAAACACAATAGGCTACTGCGGGGATGGACCTACAGATAAAGAGAATATAGAAGAGCAATATTGTTGTTACACATTCATGCCAATAAAGCTAATTTGAATTGAATTGAGAATTTATTGGAAGCCATATTGTATATTTCAACTATATCTGCCAAGTTCTTTAAGTGTATAAAGGAGTTATACACTTCTTTAAGGAGTCATAAATGTCTGTTAAACATACTGTGTTCTATCTCTGACATTCACATGCTGTGCACTTCATTCCTGCCTTTACTGGTAATGGATGCTATATATGGATTTCTCATTCAGTACAGTCTTCCATTCTGATCTTCCAGACCTGCTTGGACAGTGGTGTTTAGACTCCCAAGGCATAAATCTCAAGGTGGTTTGTGACTTCATGGCTAAACATCGTATCCTTTTGCTTTGGTAATGTCGAAGCCCTCCATCACATTCAAGGTTTATTGCAAATGTTCAACCTGACTATGGATTATGTTTTAATGTACTCTAACATTTCTTCATAAATGTAGATTTTATAAAATAAAAAAAAAAAAGTCTAAGTTTGTTGTTTGTTTACTTAAATATGTGATTAATAATGGCCTGTTTATGTAAAAACATTTTGGTGTTACTACATATGTTTTTGTAGGTATAGGTAAGTGGTTCTTGCACTTTGTATTACACGTTCCGTCGTTCTCACACATCTGAAATGTGAAGGTGCAGTTGGAACAAAAGAGAACTTTCAGTTTTGTTTCTGACTGCAAACTGTCAAAGTGAGCACCACTATGTCAGACAATATGTAAGCACATACACCCATGCCCAGCGTTACAGGAATGGAAACCATTTTCTGAGCCGTCCTGATTTAAAAGGCAAACATGTCATGTTGACTAGACACACATTTGAGAACTGGGACCAACTGTTACAGTAAGAAGCTGCATGAAATCTTGGCAACATAAATAAAAAATATTCTTATATTTTTTGTAAAATATATAGTTTATTTTTGTATTTTCTTCTTATATGAATGCACTTCATTTGTTGGGCATTTACTTTATGTTTTTTTTTCTCCTTATAAGCCAGCTACTTCCACCACACAGTGTTCACAGTTTGTTTTCATATCTGACAGAATAGCACCATCTTGTGGTTAATCCCTCTCATTAGACTGTATAAAGGCAATTTAATTTGCAATTGTAGACAGTTCCTGCTAAAGCGAACTTTGTATCTCCAGATGTTTTCTGTTGCAGGATTTGTGTTTACTTACCTCCCACTTACATAGGAACCTTATTAAGATTATGACTACTGTGATCTAATTTATTATTTGCTGTCAAAAACATTTGAAAATCTAAATGCATTCACAACCATAAACCAAGACATTGCTTCAAATTATGTTGAAAGGCATCATAAAAAGAATGAAGCTGTTTCTGAAAGTGTTGACTATGATTTTAGATAAGCTTTTACTTGATTTTAATTCTGAATTAATGAGCAATTTATGAGTGGTGTTGTTAAAATTGAATTGCTATCATGTCTCACTGCCTGGACCTTTGCTCTTTCACCCTCATAGACTTTTGATGAAGCATAGTGAAGTTACACGAAATGGTTTAATCAAAATTGAACTATGCGTGAAGCAGATGTGATGGTTGAAACCATAGTAGTTATGCAAAGATATTTTGCACATGCGTCAACACAGAGGCAGATTGCAGATGCAGATGCTAAATGTATTGCATAAACTCAAGAACTGCTCTCAGCTAGAACACAGTTGTCCTAATTGTCTGAGAGCACCCTCCTGTGGTCACTATCACACATTACAAAAGATTTTTAAATGGTCAGTATTATGGAAAATCAGATATCATAACTTAGGTAGCTTCATGAATGACTTTATAAAACCTGAAAAACTTTTAAACAATTAGACATAGCAAATGATTACTAATTTACTAAGTGTTCTTTTTTTCTTCGGGAAATAAATAAATAAGTAAAACTAACATATAAATAAAATTAAAAAAAAACTAAAAAATGGATAAACAATTAACATCCAAATATAAATGCACATTTATATTAACTAAATCTAAAGTTTGATTGAATTTCATAATGTTTATAACGTCAGTGTCCTTCATTTGCATTGTTCTTGTTGGTTTAGATGTTAAATATCTTTGTACACAATTTTGTAATGTCTAATGACAATTTTTCAAACCTCAGTGCTTCAGTTCTGTTTAAATTATTCAACTTACAAAAATCATAATCACAATATTAATCATAAACATAAATCAAATAAAATGACGAATAGAGGAACATATGTTTTTGTAGGTATAGGTAAGTGGTTGTTGCACTTTGTATTACACGTTCCGTCGTTCCCACAAATCTGAAATGTGAAGGTGCAGTTGGAACAAAAGAGGTCTTTCAGTTTTGTTTCTGACTGCAAACTGTCAAAGTGA